TACCTCTTGTCTCAATTCTTCCTCTGTAGGCCTTATTTCACAATTTATCTGACCTTCACGCAACTCCATAAACAGGCATCTGCATACATGGGTTTGATGGAAACATTGCATCACCAGCCTTACGAAACATTTCTCTGACACCTTGGTGTGGATTGGGGTCCATAATAGGCTCTGTTTCTGCAATATTAGATGTATTCATGGGAGGTTTTTCTTATTTCCAGAGATTGTACTCTGACAGTTTGAATCTCAATCATCTTTTTTTAAAAGGTTGTACAGCATATGTTGTTTTGTTTTTTGTTTTTTTATGATTCAAACAACACTTTTAACAAATCAAAATTCAGATTTTGCCTTCTGACCTTCCTGGATAAATTCATAACACCATGCTAATTAGGTGACCATGACTAGCATTGTTATTTTCATTATTTTATGCATTCAAAAAGGAAGTTGCATGTTCGAAATGAGAAGTTGAACTCCTATGCGTGCAAGTCATTTCCCCACTCTCCATTTCAGACTTTTGCAGTTGTGGTTTGTTATTAACAGGAAGATTTTTTTGGTCCTGATAAAAAAAGATATGATAAAATAGTAAGATACCAGGCAGAATTTCTAAATTCTGCCTGGAATTTATTTTAATAACAAACAGGACCACAATCAGAAATGGTATTATAAAAAAAATGATGCTACTGGTATTCTCAAAAATTAGCATATCCCTTTAAATAAGAGCATGAAAGAAACGTAATGTTGGTGGAGTCCGTAGACATCTATAAGCATCCTATACCTGAAATTTGTAATATTTGTTCGCTCGCTCTGGCAAAAGCTTACTAGAAATATCACCTAGTAAAAAGTCACAATGTTTTTTTTTTTTTGTTTTTTTTGGTGTAACATCATCTGGCTAGTCGAGGGGATGTAGGGAAATTGAATAAATCTAAAAAGTGATTAAGGAGACATAAATAAGATGTTAACAATCGGCTATATTTAAATTCTCTCGAGTACAGACTGATATTTAGCTTCATGGACAGCTTAGGCCAACATAAAAAAAACTAAAAAACTAAGAAAAGTTGAACTACCTTAAAGCGAAATACACAAAACTAAAAAGTAATCTATCTTAGAAGGTTTTGAACAACAGGAAACCTGGATTAAACAAAGGGCATGTCTCCCCGCAAAAGACATTATGACCAAACAAATGAGGATGTAAGGCAGTTAAAAGGCCCTGAAGTGCAGCTTCATAAACATTAAATCAGGCTCTGCTAATTGATGATTATATACAAGACCAAGAAAACTGCTTCCATCTTGAGGGAGACTGAGTCTAGAACAAAACATAAGGCATTACTTCAATTGAAAAACAGTCGATATAGGGAATCTTTCAAGTCCAACTTTTGTGCAAAGTTTTAAGTTTGTTAACTTTCTTGCCATTCTTCCATTATTTTCTTCTGTTGAAGCAATTATATTTCTATTTGGATGTTTGCTTTTTTGCTGTGAAGCTAAAAAACACCTCCTTCGTCATCTACATACTTCAAACAGATCTTGTATCTGATTTTTAGTGAAAAACGGTAATGATGCGGCCACCACCATGCTTTTATGTGGTGTTTTTTTTGGTTCTATGCTGTGTTTGTTTTTGCAGTTAGGAATCTGTTGGGCAATGTTTTATGTATGGTGTTATTAAAGTGTAATGCATTCTCCCAAAAGATTTCAGAATATTTTACACAGGCTTGGATATTTGTTTTTTCAAACCTTCTGGTTGTTATTCCAGACTCAAAAGACTGAAGGAGAATTTTGTCACATGGTAAACATGATGAGCTCCTCCCAGAAACTCCTATGGCTTCGGGCTATTGGCAGCCTCCCTCATCAGTTTCACTCTAGTATTATTTTTTTATTTTAGAAAAAAATAAAACGAATACATTTCTACTGATATGTTAACTGAGCTGTGATAAATATATACTGTAATGTTTTTTTTTTCCCTTCTCCCAATTTTAACCTTTGTTACAATGAGATTTTTGGATCCTTGATAACCTTTAGACAAATACTTCTTTTAGAGCCCTTTATTCGGCTGTGGAGGATTCACTCTGATTTTATATTTCGTTATAAAATCCATTATTTTCACATTTTATTGTTTTATATTTTACCTGAAAACAGATTTTTTGTTTTTCAGCTGAACTGAACCGCATGTTCTTTATCTTAATGCTAGAAAGGCTTTCAAGCAAGCGCGTTTTATCTCAACTTTGGTAGGGACACTATTGGTCTTAAGTTGAATTGATCTGATGTCGTTGGTCCTACGCATTATGTATGCTCCTATTTTTTTTATGCTTGACGTGAGCATCAGGGCGCATTTCTTTTAAAGAGAAAATAGCATTTTTCTGCTACATTTATACAAATATTATAAGCACTACACACACAAGATGCTGTTTATCAATGTTTGAAGCATCAGTGGCTCGGAATAATGTAAAATTAGGACAACTTAACTTAAGGTTACATTTGAACTTACCAGTGACTAAGTCGGAAGGTAAATACATGCCTTTTTAACCAAAAATAATCTGAATATGTCTGTTGTATGTGTATACATCCGGTGTTTTCTTTTGAAGAAATAGAATTGTGCATAGGTAAACAAAGGTAAAACCCACTCTTATTTTTTTTTATCTGATTGGCTGATATTCTCTATATTTTAAAACAAAGCAAAATAACATATTCAAGGGACTGCAAATAGATTTATTGTATTTACATAGGTGTGGGAACTATAAGAGGAACTGATACTGAGCATTTAAAATATTGACTTCAATATACAAGTTGTGAGAAAAGAAGCGACTGCTGCAACAACACTGTATTGTAAATTATAAACATGCTGTTCACATAGAATTATTGGTAGGGACAAGTAGTTTTGGGCCAAAATTTGGTAGGGACATATTCCTATGGTCTCTATGCAAACCTACGCAGAGGAATAGCCAGAACATTTTTATAAGGGTGCCCAGGCAATACCCAATATACAATGAAGGGTGGCCGAAAGCAGATCAGCACCAGAACCTTAGGGTCAATCTATACTGATCCAACAGGAAAATGAACAATCACATCATTCATATTTTCCAAATAAAGACTAATTATACCTTCCTACAGCTTTTGCTAACAGACAGACACATAGGCTATATTTAAACATTCATCTAGATTAAAGGTACAGTGGATAAAGTTCTTTCAGGTTTGAGTTCTAGGTCCAACATCTTTTTCATTGTCATTACTTACCTACTTTTATCAATAATCATCCTGCATAAAATAGATATTTACAAGTATCAATATCTACAAAAGTTTCCTTATTTACTAAGTTTTTATTAAAATAGTTATTTATCGATGATTTAACTAAAGACTCTTATATGACTTGATTTCTCTTTACCCCATAAAACAAAATCCAGCTCTGAAAAGAGCATGAATTCTATCATCTATAATGTTTGTATATTTATGTGCATAATTAACCACAGTGTTTTGTTGTCAGGTAATTGTTAATCTATGAAAAATGTAAATTTTTTGAATATTGAGAACATTACTGTAGTATTACTTGAGAGTATTACTGCTGCCACTGTCAGTATTATGGGGTGGCCACAGAGATAGTCAACGATTGGGTAAGGGTGGCCATGGCATATTAACCCTTTAGCTTTACTTTCTAACTTTCAATCAGCTTTTTACCTTTTTTTCTTGACTTGTAATTCTTTTTTCCAACTTAATTTACAGTAGGTAATATATCATTCACTGGCTCATCTAATTGGTCAAATGCAAAAATAAGATGTACAGCCATGTAGCAGTATCTGCTGAATGTCTGGATATAGATCTTTTCCTTCTAGACCTCACTGAGGGACAGGAGGGGGCTCCATTTCCAAGGGGAATGCAAGCAGAGGCGTAGCCAGAAAATCCTAATAGGGGTGTCCAGTCAATAACCAATGTACATTGAGGGGTGGCTGAAAGGCACCAGAACCTCGGGGTCAATCTACACTGTTCCAACAGGAACGAACACAACATCCATCCATCCATCATCTGATACGCTTGTCCCAATTGGGGTTGCGAGGGGTGCTGGTGCCTATCTCCAGCAGTCAATGGGAGAGAGGCGGGGTACACCCTGGACAGGTCACCAGTGCAGGACAATGCACCATTCATGCTTACACTCACCTAAAGACAATTTAGAGAAGACAATTAACCTAACAGTCATGTTTTTGGACTGTGGGAGGAAAGCGGAGTACCTGGAGAGAACCCATGCATGCTCAGGGAGAACATGCAAACTCCATGCAGAAAGACCCTGAGCCAGGAATCAAACCCAGAACCTTCTTGCTGCAAGGCAGCAGTGCTACCCACTGTTCCACTGAGCAGCCCTCACAACATCCATATGTTCTAAATAAAGACAAAATATACGTTCCTGCATTTTATCTTTACCGCAAATAATTAAAAATTTAGTTCTGAAAAGAGCATGAATTCTGTATCTATCATCTTTAATGTTTGTATATTCATGTGCATAATTAACCACAAAGTTTCTGTTGTCAAGTAGCTGTTAATATATGAACAATTTTAATGTTTAATAAGTTTAAACATTCCCCTTCAGAGTATTACTGATGCCACAGTCTGTATTAGAGGGGAAAATGTTAGGGGTGGTCAATGATTGGCTAAGGGTGGCCATGGCCACCCCTGGCCCCCCATCTAGCTCCGCCCCTGACGATCAAAAACGTTAACTTGCCCAATAAAGGGTTAAGATTATTCTTGCAGGAATGTACACAAACAACAGCATGCTGCAATGGCTCTATATTTTAATATCAAAAACGCTGTCTGTCTGAATCATATTTAGAAATCGTTGCACTGAGAGCTTTCAACATGAAGGAGCCGCAGATGAAAACACCAGCCAGTGAATAATGGCTGGATCAGTGGTAGTTTCTGCACCAGGGCCGCGGGCGGAGTCACATCGGAGTCACGGACGTGGGCGGGATTTTTCCTGCCAACACGCCAACGTCGATGTCCATATATGGTTCGCAGCGTCACGCGCCGGAGGTCCCATTCACATAAAACCGATCGGCCGGAATCCCCTTGGAGGAAATGTAGACACAGACGCGACCGGGGCTCGTTACTCGCCCGCTTTCAAACACGACCGACTTTTTTGAGGCAATAATAAGAACAATAAGTGTTCGGGATGAAGGTCTCCAGCATCGACTGCCGGCGTCTTAAGAAGATCATCAGGAAGGAGTGCGGCAGCTGCCTTATAGTGGACTGTCGGCCCTATTTCTCTTTCACCAACTCCAGCATTAAAGGCTCCGTCAACGTCAATCTGAACTCTCTGGTGGTCCGGAGGTCCCGAGGAGGACCGGTTCCTCTGCAGTTTGTCATTCCGGACGAGAGAGCTTTGTTTCGGCTCAGGGAAGGCAGCATATCGGCCATCGTGGCTCTGGATGACCGGACGTCCCACCTGCAGAAACTGAAAAAGGACAGTGTAGCACAGATAGTAATAAACACCCTGTCGCATCTAGCGAGTGGGGCCAGCATCTGCTTCCTAAAAGGTAAGAAATAAATCAGAACATTAATAATATTAACCTTCTTCTGCATTTGAATTAGTAAAAATGATTTGTTTTTTTTCAGTTGTGCGCCTCAAAAATAATTAAAATTTTACAATAATTTCAGAATAAATACATTTCTGAATATAGCCTATGATATCCATATTTTTTTTTACTTTTTTTTTTAGTAAATATCCTCTATGTGCTTTAACATATTTAAATTATATGCGGGGATTGTCTGAAAAAAAATCAATAAAATGCAATGTTCCCATAATATATATATATATATATATATATATATTTTTTTTTTTTTTTTCTTATGGACATAGTCTTTAATTTTGGTAACGTCACCATCACTTCATAGCATCGATTTTAAATATTATTCTCATGCCATCCCTGGTTTTCTCTCACTTCTTCTTGGAGAGATAAATGTCCTGCATGCGTCAGTGGCTCGCATGAGTCAGATACACTGAAAAAAAAATGGCATTTACTTAAACATATTTACTTACTTTAACACAATTGTTTCATGTTAGCAGGGTATGACATAAAACTATTGTGTTAAAGTAAATACATTTGATTAAGTAAATGCCGAATGCGGATGCATAATTTTTTTGAGTGTATCAAAATAATCTCTCAGTCCCCTCCATCCTTTATTATAGTAATCGCAGGTTTATCTGAGGTGGGGAAAATGTCTGTCAGGATGTTGGCCCTAACGAATTACCGGTTGGTCCCCCTAAGTGCGGGCTCCAGAAATTAAATACGGGTCTATAATCAGGTTATAAACACTCAAATCCGGCGCTAAGACTGTTTCATAAACACTACCATTTCACAAGAGGTGCCGTCATGTGTGAATACTTAACCTCGTTAGAGGTTATAAGCCTCTTTTCTAAAAATGCGTATTCCTAACACCTATTTTCTCTCTCTCTTTGTCTCTCTCAGGAGGATATGAAAACTTCCACTCTCAATACCCAGAACTTTGCAATGAGGTGAAAACCATTGACCAGAGCGGAACTGAAACCGAGAAAAGAGTCAACAGCCACAGCGAGAAGCTTTCTCACCACAAACCAGATTATGATCAGGTATGGAAACACCCCTTCCCACGCAGCTGTAGGCTTTAACACTGCAACTGTCGCACGGCGCATGCACCCAAACCACTCTGGGATTCAGAGAGGTTTATATTTGGCATCAAAGGCACATTCACGATATTCCCTGACCTTACCTGCTCCCTAGTTCTTTTTATATCAACCAAAGAAAAAAAAAAGAAGAGCAGCCTCTCAGTCAGGCTTTTATCTGTGACCTTTTCTCTTATCATGTCAACCATAAATAGAAAACCTGAGAAAGATTCGGATCTCAATGAGGACCTGTGTCTCTAATTGACACATTGTATATAACTGCCCCTAATGGACCCATCCCTCCATTTTCCAGAGCACTAAATGGACGTAATGTTCACCGCTGCTGTAGCTTGGACAATAAGTGCATTTTCTCAGCTTTAGGTGTGGGTAAAAGCAGATGAAATAGGCTTGCGACTGTTGTTTTGTCTCCTCCGAGAATGTTCTTGCCCTTTTACTCTAGACTCATGTCTCTGTTTTCTCTGTCCTCCAGGGCAAACCTGTGGAGATCCTGCCTTTCCTCTACCTTGGCAGTGCCTACCACGCTTCTAGACAGGACTATCTCAGTGACCTTCACATCACGGCCTTGCTCAACGTGTCGCGCCGGGATCTCCATCCGACCAAGGGTCACTACGACTACAAGTGGATCCCGGTTGAGGATAGCCCCATGGCCGATATAAGCTCACACTTCCAGGAGGCTATCGAGTTTATAGGTGAGTGAGGAATTCTGCATATCATCGTAAACATAGAGGTTTAATCATCAAAGCCTGCAAGGATACTAAACTGAGGTGCTGTACAGGTTTAATCCCCATTTCATTCAAGTGTTAAAACTTATACATAGCCATGACCTATACATAGACATGGCTATTTTTGAATAGCATCTACAAATAAGTCTTGCTCTGTCTCAGCCTGCTGCCATTCACAAATAGAAAGCTCTCAAGAACCCTGCTGTAATCAGTTTAAGTTCATCACAAGCCTTCAATCCCTCACCAACATAAGCGAGCCAGGCTTCTGTCAGTCAGGATTTCCTCCCTTATCCCCCACCAATCTCCGTCCCTCCCCCTTCGCTTTAATGCATAGAGAGCTCTCCGATGTCGTCATCAGATCTTTGTGAGAACGGTGTCGGCTGTGGTCAGTCCGTGTGAAAACTAGGTAAGCCTTAGCAAAGGGGTCAGAGTTTGGAGGGTGGCTGAGAACACAAAAAGCAGGTATTTATGATGATTAGTATATACTAGGTGACTAATGCATAATAACAGCGGGGTGTTTGCCTGCAGGAGATGAAAATTACTGATTGGCCTGAGGCCAGGAGGGCAGCAGATTTGCTACATAGGAAGAGACAGTGTGTGGGATAGGTAATGGGGATGCTGTTTAATAACATCAGAAAAGATTATAAAAAAAAAAACAATGAGATATTTATAGCCAGGAATATCCAAAGATGGAGCCAGCTATTGTTGTTTGATGTGCATTGTTTGGGGTTGCAGATTATGTTTAAGCCCAATTGTTGCATAAGGTTGCAAAAGGGTTCCCGGAAGCAGGATTAGCCCATATTCAAACACAACTTCCGAAATCCATCGATCATCAGAGTGCTCAAATAGTCGCAGCTGCTGGTTTCGGATTAAAATCAATCAGCAAATCACAATCGTGTCTGACTGATGTAACGGTGAGAGGAGGGAGGAGAATGAATGTTGCTGACGTACTGAAATATATCCAGTGTATTCAAAACAAACACTGGTCATTAAAACTCGAACACGTCGTGAGCAGCGTGATTCAGACTGGTGCTGCTCTCTCTTTAGAGCAGCTCTCTGGAACAGACGGAAGTGGCCCTCATAGCCCCTGTGCTACACAGAGAGAGACGCGTAGGTGTCCGCGGTGCCTAATGAAACTAGCGTCTGCAACGTGGGTAGATAAGACCTACATGTGAAGCAGATGAAAATAAAGACTTGGAGGTGTTTGGAGAATTTCTAAGAATTCTTGAAGGGTTTTAAGGGGGACATTTACAAAGATGGGTGAAAGTAGATATGTGTGGAGGCGGTAGAAAGTACAGGTAAGCCTGTAGGAGGGTGGCACTTATAGCCTAGGACACACATCTGTGACTGTTGAGCGCCCCCACAGCGGTGCAGGAGCAGGTGTGCTTTGTGACTAATACCAGCCTCAGAAGTTTAGGTGTTTGCACCATGGAGCATGCTGCCTCTGTTTGTCTGCAATATCCTACAGTTATTGCTGGGTAGAGTACTCGGGGCCACTAGGATAATTACATGGCTAAGCTGTGATTCTGATGTGTTTTGATGTTAAGTGAAATTAAACCAGATTTTTAACAAGGATTTTCTTTTCTTTCACCTTTCAGATCAAGTGAAGCAATCTGGAGGGAAGGTTCTGGTACACTGCGAAGCAGGCATCTCACGCTCGCCTACCATCTGCATGGCGTACATCATGAGGACCCAGAAACTCCAGATAGACGAAGCCTTCGAGATCATCAAGCAGCGCCGGTCTGTCATTTCACCAAACTTCAGCTTTATGGGCCAGCTGCTGCAGTTTGAGTCTGAGGTCCTGTCCAACGCCCCGGCTCTCGCTACCACGCCCGAGCCAGCTACTCCTTGTGTCAAGGGGTCGGCCTCGTTTTTTGCCAATGACTTCTCCGCCGTTATCAGCACCAAAAACTTTGAGCCACCCATGTTCACCCTTCCTACCTCTTGCCTGCAGTCCCCAGTACACCACCCGTTGAAACTGAGCCCAATAACTGCACTGCCTTAAAAAATGAACTGTGACTGCTTGGTAGTATTACTTGAAACGTTAAGAATCAACGCTCTCTGTGTGCCTGGTGTTGAAACTAGCAGAGCAGGTAGAGACTGAGATCAGCAAGAGATGAAATGAAGAACTGGATTTAATTGAAGGGTTTTCCTATCGTCTTAGCTGCTGGGATGAAACAACACAGCACATTGATAAACTGCAATATACAAGCCTTAGGTTAATATTGTGATTCATTTGCCTATTCACAATTAAGGTTAGGCATTTAAACCTAATTTATTTAAAAACTATGGTCTGTTTTTTCAATAATGTGGGAAATGAAATGTGTTTAATAAATGTTTTCACTACTGAAACCTTGTTATGTTATAATTCTTTATGACTATTAAGTAACAAGTAAAAAACTAAAATCCGTCATATCTGAATGTTGCTTGGTTCTAATAATGCAGAATAAAAATACCACTTCCTTTGAACCAGCAACCATCTTATTTCAGCTGGTTTCAGATCTTTTGATACGTTAACTTTTCGTTGCTAAAGACTGTACACTTTTTTGCACATTGCAAAAACAATCTAGAAATAAGTAACATTTTCTTAAATTAAATTTATTTACCCTTAATTTGAACAGGTAATAAGATTATTTAGCAAATAAATTCCTATTTTTACTGTTAATTTATGATAATTAGATAATATTCACTTGAAATAAGAGAATGCTTTTTTTTCTTATTTTAAATGTAAATTGTCTTATTCCATTGGTCAAATGTCTCACCTCCTAAATTCAAGTAAAATGCACTTATTTTTAAGAAAAAATTACTTATTTAGATTTCAATTTTTTTGCAGTGCATCAATTAAGGATTTTTGTCAGATGAAAAAGAAAATCACATAAATTACTGCTGGTTGAATGCATTGATTGTCGTTTTTAGTACATTTTAGTAAAATGTTTTTAACCATCCAATGACCAACCAAAGCCATTTTCAAATGGCTGAGTTATAGGTGCATCCATAGCGTTACCGCAGTGAAAAAGTGTCAGAAGCTCAAAACAACTAAAGATCAATGAGTTGGATAAAAGAGCTAGCTGCGGAATAAGCTATATCTGAATATAAATCAATGAAAAAAAGGTTTTGTTTCTCCTGCAATACATATTTTTCTGTTTTATATTTAGCATTAATTATCTACGTACTATATCCTCAATTTTATTTTTTTCTTAGTCATAAAGACCTGTAAAAAAGGTCTCATTAGTTTCACTTCTTGTCCCAACTTAATATTCTTGGAGAGCAGAAGGTTTTGTGGATGAAAAAGATTTTTTCACTGGGTTCATTTTTTTGTTAGAAGTTGGGCTGAAATTCCTCATTGGAAAATGTGTGGATTCATGACTTCTAACAGTTAGTGAATACGTTGAGTTATACAAGCTGATTATAACATGTTTTTTTCATTTAATGACACCAAATAACCATAATCAGAAATACTATGTAAGCTGCTTTCTTTATGAAATAAAAAACAGAGGTTCCTATTAACAAATCACTCCTACTGATGTAATAATTTTTAACATGCATAGCTGTTAAAAAAGACTATTGAGCAGGAATTAGTTTTGGGACATCAAAATCACTGACTTTGGTATATGTTCTGTTTTCATTTTCCAGATTGCAATTTGGACCATCTCTCTTATAAATATATATCACAGTAGGTACCGTCCTGTACACATCCCTGTCACCATACAGTAGCTGTAAAACACATCTTTAACAAAGGTGTGGAATATTTTATTATCAATTCATACATTTCAGCTATTTCTACAAGCAGGTGTGGGTGGTAACTAGTTACATTTATAAAAAAAACTTACCCATTCTAAGTAACTTAATCTTACAAAGGTGTGGTCTATAATATAATTTTTCAAATTCTTTTATAGAACTATATATTTTTCACCAGGTGTTACTACTCTTACTTGAGTAATTTCTAGATGCCTAATTTTTATTTTTGCTTGAGTAAAATTTGAAGTAATGCTTCTCTCATTTGAGTACAATTTGTAGGTCCTCTGCCCAACTCTGTCTGCAGCTACATAGTTTGCCTTATAATTCTACTGTCATTAACTCATAACAGATTTGTTTGGGACTCCCATCACTCTATTTACTTTCCAGTTTTTGGACAAGATGACACAAATAGTTTGTATAGTTGGCATTTTATCTCTCTGGAAGATTTAAACAGCTATAAATGATCAGAGAAGCAGAAAAGTTTATTTTTTAAATTTAGTTATCACCAAACTGTCTTTTTGAAATACTTATTTAATTTCCCTATGGGATTAACAAGGTATATTTGAATTTTATTATAACTATTCTTGAATCCTACTTGTAATCTTTTTTTTAAGTCTCCATAATATGCAAACATTAACTGTTTCATGCAGGAATGTGTCACGATTCTTTAGTGAAATTACAAATTATAAAAATAATCTTTGTTAAATTTATAAAAGATCTTCAAGACACACACTAAGCATCTAGTTTTATGAACAGTACAGGAAGTACACTTCTAAGGATTTTGTTTGGCGCCCAGAGGAGAAAAGATGGATTGTACTAACTGTGCAAAGAACGACAAGTGAAAAACTGATACGGAATTTTGAACATTTCAAGGTACAAAAATGTCCTTGTTAGGATGCTACGGATATGAATGAGTTTTGTTTTCCCTTGTTAACAGCAAGGCTTTCCAAATAAACACAAAGTATAAATGATTTTTCAGTAGTCTGGACCCTGTTTTCATTTAATGGTATGACCCATGCTATCCCGCCCCCGCCGCCATTTTCCATGTTATTCTCTTTTAGCATAAACTCTGATTATTTTTCATTTGCAACAGTTATTCTATTTTTTTCTCCAATTAACAGGTCGAAATTAGTTTTGGGGGATATTTTTCTCCAAGTTTTACCCAGGAGACGCCCTGTTTAGGTTACAATGTACATAAAACAGGTAAGCTAAAGGCCTAAATGCATCTGCACGGGGAGCCGAACAAGGCTAGCTCAACGATATGCTTTTTCTAGTAACCGTTGTCGAGATATCCAAATAGTTTGATAATTGTACTAGAAATCCAGACTAACTGACTAAAAATGCTGCGTATTTTTTATATGCTAAGGTAGATTTTTCGATTTCCAAATGCTGCATGCACGCTTTTCAAAAAAGCTAAGCTAACGCTACAAGAATAACTGTGTTGAGTGTGTTTTTTATAATTTGCTTTACTATGACATACTGCTGGTAAACAGCGTTATGCTGATTAATAATGTGCAATTCGAGCTTGAGATTAGTAGTATTTTGCGTGTTATAACAACCAGGCTATTGTGTGTATAGATGACAATGTTCTGAATGAAATGTACCGTTAGCCCTAATGTCAGAAGGCCCAGTCCCGCTTTTAGGATAACCTATTTGGTGATAAAATCCCCACATTTAAGTTAAACATATTGCGTCCACTTTGCAAAATGCCTCTCTTGCTGTGGTCAGTTTATAATAATGGGTTTCTTGGAATTGGCAGGTTATTATCCAGGGGTTCAGAAGTTACAGGGATCAAACTGTTGTGGACCCCTTTAGTCCCAAGCATAATGTGATTGGTAAGGTTCTGCTATCATACTTAGATACAGAAATAAAAAATTTAACAGTTTTGAATAGTTGTTTGTGTGTCTTTCCTCTAACATTATAAAAAAAACTGCTTGGTATTGAGCAGAAACCTGTAGAAAATATAAATGTTACCTTTGTTATCGGGGAGCTTAGATGGTTGTTTTGAACAACTCTTAATGGTGGTGGTGTGGAATTAATGCTACAACATTAAAATATGTGTCTAAAATGTTTTACTTGTTTAGATTTGTTCTCTTCAATATTTTCACTTTACCTACCTTTTTTTGTTTCAGTCGGCAGAAATGGGTCCGGAAAAAGTAACTTTTTCTACGGTATGTGAGCCTTGAGTGAAACAGTCTCCAGCATGTGTTTAACATAATGGTTACAATGATCAATTGTCTTCTACAGCTATCCAGTTTGTGCTCAGTGATGAATTCAGCCACCTGCGACCTGAACAGCGCTTGGCCCTACTTCACGTAAGTTCGTACAACACTCCCCTGAATTTAGCTTCGTTGGGAATTTAACATGATATAATGAAAATAGTATAAAGTAAAGAAAAAAAAATCTACATCCCTGAATTTAACTATAAAGCATAAAAGTAAAAATTTGTGGATTTAAACTGTGAAGGTCTGAAATGTGATTGTTGTCTTGATTATGTTTATTTTCTTCTGTTGCTGTAGGAGGGAACTGGTCCACGCGTCATTTCAGCTTTTGTGGAGATTATATTTGATAACTCTGACAACCGGCTGCCGGTATTAAACATTTTCACTTTTTTTTCTTTCAATTCTCCTCAAATGTTTTTTTTTTGTCATTTCTCCTCAAATGTAAGCTCCTTTTATAGTTCTTTTTGGAACATAACCATTAATATTGTTTAGAATGAACAATGTTTTGCTATAATTATATTATGTATGACTCTTTGAATTTTGACAAAATCAAACAAACAGATCAGACTTTGTATATTTGGAAAGAAGCAGTATTCAGCCTGTGTGATTGTACTTTTCTTTAAAGTACAGCAGAAATCAGAGTGCAGCAGAGTTTTTTACTGGAGTCAGCCTTGTTGCATAATTGTATTGTAAAAGCACAATAAATCTGTTATGGGGGAGTTTTTAACATAATTAGTGAGAAATTTCTCTTCCCCCAGATCGACAAAGAGGAGGTCTCCCTTCGCCGTGTCATCGGTGCAAAGAAGGACCAGTACTTCTTGGACAAGAAGATGGTGACGTACGTATTGCTGTGGTTTGACTGTGTGTGTACCTGTAAATACCCCGTGTCCCACAGAAAATTCCATCCCTTCCTCCTTTATGGTTTTCATGCCCGTCTCTTTTTGCAGTAAGAATGACGTCATGAACCTTCTGGAGAGTGCCGGCTTCTCTCGCAGTAACCCGTACTACATTGTCAAGCAGGGAAAGGTGAGAAAACAGTGGGTGGTCTTGTTGCACTTGTGTACTTTCTTGTTTCATGTTTTTCCACAGTTCTTTACTGAGAATCACTGTTTTAAAGCAAGCAAAATGACAGGCACTACTTAACATTGTCATTTTCAGAATTATGATTATTATTTTTTTCTTTGCTTAAGTCACTATTTTGTTGTCCCGTCTTCATTGCATATTTTATTTCCTCAAACAGATCAACCAAATGGCCACAGCCCCTGATTCTCAGCGTCTCAAGCTTCTGAGAGAGGTGGCTGGAACACGAGTGTACGATGAACGAAAGGAGGAGAGTATTTCTCTCATGAAGGAGACAGGTCAGCCTAAAAAACATTGCTGTAATGAAATGTAATAAAGCTACAAAATCTAGAAATAGGGTTGGTGTTATGTTGTAGCAGTGAACCAACATCCTGCTGCTCTTTTAGATTATTCCACACAACATTTCTTTATAGCTGTGGTTATTTTATAATTGTTGGACATTTTGCGGCAACTAAAACAACAGTAAAATAATGGTAAAGTGGTGCATTTAGTGAATATTTTGACATATATCTTTTTGACTCACCAACCTGCTTTTTGTGTTTTCCAGAGGGGAAGCGAGAGAAGATCAATGAGCTTTTGAAGTACATCGAGGAGCGTCTGCATACCCTGGAAGATGAGAAGGAAGAGCTGGCTCAGTACCAGAAATGGGACAAGATGAGGAGAGCTCTGGAGTATACCATTTACAACCAGGAGCTCAACGAAACCCGGGCCAAACTGGATGAGGTGGTGTATTTCCACTGCTCTCAAACACTGCATAGTTAATTAGCTTAAATCTTTGAATGAGAGCCCCATAGGGAAAATATTATTGTACCTTTTTTTTTTTTTTCCAGTTGTCCAGCAAGAGGGAGACCTGTGGAGACAAATCCAGACAGCTGCGTGATGCTCAGCAAGATGCCCGAGACAAAGTGGAGGTAAAAATGTGAAGACTAGTGCTTAAAAACAACTTTTTTTTAATATATATATATATATATATATATATATATATATATATATATATATATATATATAAATGTAAAATCCCTTTCCAAGATGTTCAAATGTTTTTATTCTTTAGTTGTAAAATACATTTTTGATTTATAGGTCACAATAATTATTATGATCAACATCCTAAAACCATAATTGCTTGTGAGTCTTTTATTAATGTAAATTGATCTTAAGAGAATATCTGTAATATTGAAGATGTTTTTTTTCTTTTTATTGTGGGTGTTGAAAAGGAGAAAAATTATACATTTAAGCATTTATTTTTATATCCAAACTCCTTGTTTATTTTTTGGCAGCAGCTTCTATAATGTGTGATAAGTTGTTTATTTTTATGTCAATTAATTTAAGTCTGTGCAGTAACCTCATTTGATTAGATTTTTTTTAATCTGAGTGTTGAGTTAAAAAAACAAATTCCTCTGAAAAGAATCTCAAAGCCTGTTTCTGTGTTTTCATTTCCTCTTTGTAGGAGACGGAGCGCGTTGTGCGCGAGCTGAAGTCCAAGGTCTCTGCCATGAAGGAGGAGAGAGAGCAACTGTCGGCAGAGCGCCAGGAGCAGATCAAGCAGAGGACCAAGCTCGAGCTGAAGGCCAAGGACCTGCAGGATGAGCTGGCAGGCAACAGTGAACAGAGGGTACGGAAGCCTCCAATCTGCGTCACTCCGAATACGTGATGGTGCACCAACACCCCTCATATTCACCAGCATCACTGTGGGAAAGGAGGCAGGGTTGTTTCAGTCCTCTAACTCACTTTGCTCACACCAGATATTAATGGAGAACACAGCTACTTAGAAATGTAATTCAACCATTTGTGTTTGGCTTTTCTTTTCTATCGAACATTATCAGAAAAATAGTGACTAAGCATTTCACAGTATTTCTTTGTGTCTGGAAAAATATGGAATTAATTCAAGTATTTTCCAGATCTGGATGAGTGTGAAAAAGGAGATTATCTACGCTATTGCCAAAAACCTCCATATAGTTTTAAATTGAATCCTTGTAATTCTTTATCCATCCACAGATTTGTATTAATTTTTTACCATCACCCTACAACCTACATCCAGCCTTTCTTTATTGTGTTTTTTTTTTTTTATCTTTTATACTCCACCTTCCATCTCTACATTTTTTCATATCTCTGTATGTTTATACATTAGGACTAAACAATTAACTGTATTAATCAGTTTAATCAATATCGATGATTAGAATAATTTTAAGCAAATTTGGTAACTAATTGTTATCTGGAGTAGAGGGACTCTAAAATCTGCCTTCGGCTGACAGAGCAACCCACTTAGAGCAGGGATTATACCAAAATTGTACAAAAAAAAAAAGCTCTATGCAGAACTCCTCAAGTGGAAAAGTTTTCGTTTCACCTGGTTTAAATTCTGTAAAAAGTCTTTTAGGGACCCTTTTCTATCCGATTTATTAATCGAAAAATAATAGACAGATCAATCAATTTTCAAAATCATTGTTAGTTGCTGCCTTAGTTCTAGTGATGTGGTAACCGACACTATATGTTTCCCCATTGTTTGGACACCATGAAAGTCAGACCACAGCGCTGACATCGCTTCTCACAATCCTTTGCTGCATTAACGTCATTGTCACATGACCAAACAAACAACACATGACCCACTTTTTCCTCTGGAAACAAAAACAACAACAAGAAAATTAAGCATTGGCTCAGTTTTGCTTATCAGACCGATAACAATATGCTTAAAAATGACCAATAATGGAAGATAATAATGCTAATGGCGATATAATGCGCATCCACAATTTACATTCATTCATCATTTTGTCTTTCCTCCCATTTGCTTTTTCATCCTTTCTTTTCTGGTTCATGCAGGTCTGGTTTTGAAAGAATTTTACTGCCATGAAAATTAGTGTTGCGCCGATGCCATTTTTTGGCCCCGATACCGATACCCGATACCTGGCTGTGCAGTATCGGCCGATAGCGATACCATAATAATGTAAAATAATTGCCATCATGGCTTTGTCAAGCTGCTGCCTACCTTTGTGAAGCAGGAAAAAATCTAATACAAAGTGAATCCAGTAGAACTTTTTATTTCCTACCAGGAGTGGGTGACAATAGTTGAAGAAACTTATGGTTCTCAAAATGGTATCGGTGCCCTATTTGTTGGTACTCGCCGATACCGATACCACCATTTTAGGGCAGTATCGGGGCCCCGTCCGATACTGGTATCGGTATCGGTACAACTATAATGAAAATGCATGTTTAAGTTTAAAAAAATAATCATTATTTAGATTTAAAGATGATCATAACATAAGAGTGGAATAGATGGTGGGAAAATTGTTGATTCTTTTTATTATCTAATTGTTTTATCAATGTTTAGGGAAGTAGCAAATTGTTGCACATATGAAGTGATTAAATTATCACTTCATATGTGATCACTTCAATGATGATGACATAAAGTGAACAAATGATCAACCATTTGGTTGGTCGAGCAATTGCAGGTTTAATAATCTTTTATTTGTTTCTTTTATTGAAAAATAATTTATTTATATTCAGATTTCAATGTTTTTTTTTTTTTCTGTAAATGATTGAACCTAAAGCTAAAGTCAATGGAGCTAATTGAATCCCTTGGGTTTACCCCTGTAATCTAAGGGACTAACCATAATCCTAACATTTGTGGATGCAAATTGCAGTCATTCAGGTCATAGTCATTTCAAAAAAGTAAAACAAAATATCTTTTTCAATTCAAAATGTCAGAATTAGCGTTGAGTTTCTAGCTTTATAGAGTAGCCCAAACAAATGGCTTAGAAAACATGCAAATTGAACCGGAAGAACAGATCTACCCCTTAGGAATGTCCTTGAGTTAGCCTGTTAGCCTGCAATACCCAGTACTGGTCTATGCCCCTGAAAGGGGGTTGTTAGGGGGAATTGTTGGCCTGGCTGAACAGGCGGGATGTTCTGGTCCTCTGTATCGGGGTGGGGGTTGTGATGATGGTGGGAAGGAATCAACTCTGTTGTCTTCTTTGTCCGAAACGTGGACATTCTGGTCCTCAGACAAATGTCCTTTGTCCGTAAGGTGTAGATGTACAGCAGAGTCTTGTCCAGAAGAGGTAGCTCTGCTGTGTTGGGCCATGCATCTGTGCAGAGTTTGTTTGGTTGCTAAAATATAAAGATCAGAGCATTCCTCTCTGCTTTGAACTGCATACACCACTCTGCTCATCTTAGGTCCGGGGGTTTTGTCTCTCAATTTTGTCTTACAGTTTGCATGTTTTCTAAGCCAAAACTAGGCTTTGTTTGGGCTACCCTATAAAGATTGGAACTCCATGCTGATTCTGACATTTCGAATTAAAAAAGATTCCTGGATGGGAATGAAAAAGATCTTCAAACGTGAAAACAATCCAGTAGATTTTTTTTTTCTTACTTTTTTTTTAAATGGATGCAAAACCCAGAGCTTTATTAAGTTAATTTTATATATCTTCATTAAATTCTTGTTGGGACCAACTTCCAACATGTAATTCTGGGAATGACTGTTAAAATGGCATCGTCCTTTCTCTGTAGAAAGGCACTCTTTGAAATTTGTGTCCAATTTTTAAACTTTGTTCAGATAAAAGGCAAAAAAAATAAAACAAACAAATGTGAGCATCCATTTTGGGATGAGTTGAGAAGGGAAATGAGTTATCAGCAGAATCTATACATTCCTTTTGGCATAAATTGATGTATGCACAGTTGGCATTGATCACTCTCCATATGGCCTTGTGTAAAATGGTTGTGTAGTGTGAGAATAGGGATGGGAGTCATAGAAGAAGGGATTGTTGGCCCAGTCTTTGAAATGTGAGCTTCATGCTGGCTGTTGGTGCTTGGACTGAGCCCATCTGGCTATGGCAGGCTCAACACTCGTCTAAAGTGGTGGAAAAATAAAAAGCTTGTTAGTTTTCATGGTGGAAAACTGGGTCATGTATCTAAAGGCAGTTCACTAATAAAATTTGAAGGGAGTTTAACTTGCTTGAATGCTTTGTTTGTCAGAAACGTTTGCTGAAGGAGCGTCAGAAGCTGTTGGAGAAGATTGAGGAGAAACAAAAAGAGCTGCAGGAGACTGAACCCAAATTCAACATGGTGAAGGAAAAGGAGGAGCGGGGTATCTCTAGGTAGGGATGACTCATAACTATGCAGCTGATGATCAAGCATTGCTGGATGAGTAATTCAGCACACACTGAAAGCCTATAATAGAATATCTCTGCAAAACTTGGTTCAAGAAAATGTGGGTAGGACCTTTTTTTTCTATAAATCAGATCCATTTCAGTCAGTTGAATCCCAGCAACCAATTTTCAGGTTGATTTATCATTTATTTTGTGATTAATGTGATTTATTGGTTTGACAGAATTGTATCCTTGGTGTTTTTCTTTTCCTCTCTCTAGACTAGCTCAAGCTACCCAAGAGAGGACTGACTTGTATGCTAAGCAGGGCCGTGGTAGTCAGTTTACTTCAAAGGAGGAGAGGGATAAGTGGATCAAGAAAGAGTTAAAGTCCCTGGACCAGGCCATAAATGACAAGAAGAGGCAGATTGCAGCCATCCACAAAGACCTGGAGGACACAGAGATGAATAAGGAGAAGAACCTGGAGCAGTACGGCGTAAGACTGGTCTTATAAAGGCTACTAACTTCTGTGGTGCCTCTTGTCCTTTCACGTGTCTTTTAGTGTCAAAACATTTGATCTCTCTATATTAGTTGGAGTTTAAATGCTGTCTCTTTTATCTGAGCCCTCAACAAGGCATTGGTCTGAACTTTGATCAATTTGTGTCTTCAGAAACTTGATCAAGATTTAAATGAGGTCAAGACCCGCGTTGAGGAGCTGGACAAGAAATATTATGAAGTGAAGAACAGGAAAGATGAACTCCAAAGTGAAAGAAAGTAAGAAACTTCACCATTGTTCTGCCTTGCTCTGCATTTTGCTCTTATTTCGCACATAATTTTCTTCATGCTGTATAATCATATGAATATGCTATGGTTAATGATGTACAGACATATTCTACATAAGATATTATTGTACTACAAAAAATAGTTCTTTAGTTTTAATCTTTTCTCTCCTGTATTTTAGACCTCTCTCTCTTCTACATTTGCATCTTGTCCTTATCACAGCTGAACATACAGATCTGACTATTTTAAATATCAATTATAAATCATCACTGGTAAAGAAAATAAACCCCTTTGTTGTTATTCCAATAATATTTGCTGACAAGTAGCTTATTGCCTGTAACTTTTATGTTCAAATTGAAATATTCCTCCATTAAGCTATTACACTGTTATGCCGAAATATTTATCAGTTTTTATAGTTTACTGAAATCACCCCTCCTGATATGTTTTCCTTTCTGATACTATTCTGATATTGCAGCTTTGAGTATTGACCGATACTGATACTGATATTGACCTGATGAGATGTCAACATGAGTCATACGTGCTTATTTTTTATTTTATAGTGTGCATTGATAGAAAAGGCTTGATCAAGTGATATTTCTCAGAGAACAACACTTAACAACATCACGTACAAGAACTGACTCCTTTCTTATTCATCAAAGAGTTAAACTTTAAACAAAAGTGGATGAAAGTAAAGTCTTTCTGATAAGAGATTTTAAAGACAGACTGATATATTCCAATATTCATCTTTTGGCTTATATATATATCACCATTTTCTGTTATCAGTATTGCATCAGAACACCCCTAATTAAAACAGCAGATTTAGCTTTAATCAGAGGCCTCACTTTTGCAGAACAAAAATAATCTTTAAATTCACGTTTCTTGGAGAAGTAATATCCATGGAACAACTCACTGAATATAGATTTAAAAACAATGGTTTTAAAGATGCATATTCTAAATACTTTTTTTTTGTGAGGTGCATGTGACAGAAACTTTAACATTGATCTTTTTGTCACCTTAATAAAACCCCCAACCCTGACCAGATTTACTTTTATATGTGGTCGTATATTGGATTTGTATTCAGTACTTTTCAAAGCCTAAGCAGCCACCATCAAACTTTTTAGACTTCAGCATCACCACAGACTTCTCTGCTCCACCAAAGGCCTTGTTAATAAAATATGGGTGACCAAGCAACAAAATGTGTCTTCAGTAACTAAAAAAAATCGCAATATAGCACTAAGGCACGTGCTGTGTAAATGTAGCCTTAGACTTTAAGCAGATCTCTCAGCAGCCTTTGCTGCCTACAGTAACCTAACATTGAAGTAGAACCTTCCAAAGGATCTACTCTTCATCTTGTTTTCTCATTATTCATTCCTTCACAGTTTGGTTTGGCTCATCTGCAAAGCAGGACAGGCCTAAAGGGCTGGTTATCCTCCCACAGCAATGTGTCGCAGTGAGCTTGTCGCAGATATTTTTGATTTATGCCCAATATTGAGGCATGACGGATTGTATCCAAGGCGGACAATCAGGAACTAGCAGTGGGGCTAGATACGGCCGAGGTGGTGAGGAAGTGGGGACAAATTTGTGTGACCATGGAAGGACACAAGGCCAAAAAATAGGGAGGATCAAGGTGTAAAAAGGGACCCAGCATTCTAGCGCACCTCGCTGTTCTAGCTGGGCCAACTTTACGAGTCGTTTTCCACAATGGTGGTCATACAAACAAAACAAGCCACTAAGGTACGAAACAGGAAATGCGCATAGTGTAGAGTGGATGTAAATCTAACCAATCAGTAGCCTCCTGTCTTCGGCCACCTACAATTTTGGAGAGGTGCAGCAGAGTGTCTTCGGAAGGAGTGGGGGCGACACGCCCAGACGACCTGGTTTCTGAGCATAAACCAGCCTTTAGACTATAACGATCAATTAGGGATAGATGATCAGGACTGACCTTCTTTTCATCCAGGACTTGTAGAGGTTTAGGAAAACAGCTTCTAATGTCATCATCCTGGACAAAAACTGTTCAGACTTTTCAATTCAGTTTGGAAACACTTTATTGATCTCAAAGGGAAATGGACTATAGGTAAACGTGTTTTGCTAAATAGTGGTTTCTTCCTCAAGGCTGACAGTCTGATAAAAAAGATCTGTACAAGACTTTTTTGGATCGATCTAACCATGTCTTCCATTTTTATAGTGCAAATATTTATTAGGAAAATATTTTGTGTTGACCTTTTTTGTATATATTAGTACTTCAGATGTCTTCACTGACAGTGAAGAGAATCAGAAGTCAAATATCTTATTCTTTGGAGGAACGTTGCTGTAGGTTTCCAAGGTTTTGTTATGCAAATATTATTGTAATAGTTCCTAAGCAGTTTTCAATGAATGTAGAAAATAATTTGTTTCAAAGTCATGGCATTATTTTTACATCTCAGTGTCATTGCCGCAGTAGAGCCTGAATCTTTCTAGTGACATAAGTGTAACAGTGTGACTGTCTGTGTCCCTCCAGCTACCTGTGGCGTGAGGAGAACGCAGAGCAACAGGCCCTGGCAGCCAAGCGAGAGGACCTGGAGAAGAAGCAGCAGCTCCTCAGAGCAGCCACAGGCAAGGTGTGTCACTCTGCATGACTTAGTAATTATTGACTTGTATTATAGAAGTCAAGGCTAATTTTCCTATCTGACCACTTAGACTTGGCAGGGGATCTATTTTTGTCGTCTAAAACTGTCAGGTTACACGGTAATCTGTCCCAATCTTCACATTCTCTATGGAAAAAAAGCAAGCAAGGATATCAGCAAGGACTGATAATTTCAGATTGAAGTTCTTTGGCCTCTAAGTGAGCCCACCTGAATGCCGCCAAGAATTCACTTTGTGACTCACCCGCTTGTCAGGATAGGTATATCAAATGAAATCATTCATCTGCTTCAACAGTCACAACTTATGAAGGCTTGCTAAATTTACATATGACTCACTCGTCTGGCTCATCCAGTCATTTCTTCTGGATATATCCATCAATCAAATATCACCTCTGAATAATATCTGCTGAGATGAAAGGGGGCTGCTCAGAGCTTCACGGACAAATGTCATGCATTCATTTATTCCCTTCTCATTGGTCCCAGCTGATTCAGTCTCTTTCCTGTGTTTAATGGACTCGCCCTTATCTCATCTCTGCTCCAGCCTTTTAGATTTGCTGAGCATAGAGCAGTCTTTTTGTTTTTCACTGTATTGAATTGACATTTTTGTGTCTCTTTTTCATCAGGGCTTCACGTCATATATATATTATATTATATTATTTTGGCTGTTATTTATTTAAAAACAGGTTTTTATTTTTAAACTCATGCAAAATTCATAAAAAAGCTCCACAGCAAGAGATTTTTTGGGGGATTTCCTTGGTAAATAATGTAAAACATAATGGTGTAGAAAAACATTGTTGTTTCCAGACTTTTGCCTCCTCCATTTTTAGGAAATAGAAATTTGCATTGATTAAAAACCAACTGTTCACACTACAGTCACCGTTTGAGGCAGAAATCATTCTAAGCATGAACTGCTGGTTTAAGAGAAATTGTCTGGATAAAAACAATGAAAAAAAAAATTGGGACTCTGGGGAAAGTCTTGAATGGTTTTAAAACCTCTCATCTAGATACAATCATTCCTCTTTCTTCTCTTGCAGGCCATCCTGAATGGCATCGACAGCATAAACAAAGTTCTGGAGCATTTTAGGAGGAAGGGGATTAACCAGCATGTCATCAATGGTTACCATGGCATTGTCATGAATAATTTTGAGTGTGAGCCAGCTTTTTACACCTGCGTGGAAGTGACAGCAGGGACAAGGTGAGAAATGTTTCTTTTGAAAGAAATGTCCTACCATCAAATGTAGATTAATGTCAGGTATTCTTAGTTCCTCCAATGCTACTTGAATAGAGAGGTGGCTGATGGGGGAAAAAAACATCGCCTAAAGCCACATAAATCAGCATTAGAGTCTAGAAGCAAATGCTTTTGTTTTTTGCTGTTTTGTTGCCTGATTCTCTCCATTCTTTGTTAGTTAACATGCTTAGTGTGGCTTAACTTAAGGGGTTTAACCATATTTAGAAGCAGAAGTTCAACAAGGCTTGCTTTGCTTTAGAGATTCAGACGTTCACAGAACTTCCTCTACAAATCTGGTGTTTGGCCAGTTCTTTTGTTGTTATGGTTTATCTTGGCAAAAGGTTTTATGATATTACCCCGTTTATTTATCTCTAAAGGGACCTAGTTATGTACTACGACTATCAGAAACACTAATAACCTTAACATTTCTCTTTATATAAAAAAATATATGGCAAGCTTTCATTCTGATAGTGATTACTTTGTCCATTTTGATCCTGTAAAGAAAGTTTGCACTGGGACACATCAGCAGGCATCATGATTGTTGTGGCTTATATTATCAAACTGGAAATAATAATAAAAAAAAAAACTGTAAATAATGTACCCGTGACATTCCCTCACACAACCAGCTTTAAAGCTGCAGCTTTAACATAGCTCATGTGGTATACTGAGCGCTTTCTTATCCCTACTTACATCATATAATTAATTTTTCTTTTTTTTCCTTTTCAAACTTATTCTTAGACTTTTATCTTTTTGTAACTCACGTAAACCTCTCATTCAGATGATTGAAAAGTGCTTTGCAATGAACCTTTTTCATAGCAAAAAAAGAATCCATCAAACTCCCTTATTTTGGTTGCTAGTCTATAAAAGCCAGGTGAATGATAGTTGTCAATAAACTTCATGTGGTTTGCACTATACAGGGGTAACTTGGGTTTTTTAGTGATTATTATTATTTATTTATTTTTTGGTTTATGAATATTGAATAAAAAATGTTTTTGTTGTTTTCCCAACTAATGCATTTAATGGGCTTTCATTATTAAGGGTGACATTGATTGTAATATTTTGTTGTTAAATATAAATAAAACTTATAAACTATAAACTAACTTAGTGGGTAACACACCACTAGCATTTTGTCATTGACTATAATGGCAGGACCTAACAGCCATTATGTTTCATTTTCCACTTCATTCCCAGAAGGAATTTGTTAAAATTAAAGCACTTGTTTTAAAAGTTGTTTCTGTTATTTTTATTTTGCTCTCATAAAACAAATGGAAGAAGACAATAATCCATTGATTTGGTGTAATAAAATCTTTTATGCTAATTTCTATGCTACATTGCCCAGTCCTAGTTTTAGGTAATAAATATTTAGAGTTTAGAAAGTTTAAACTTTAATGGGAAATGCTGATAGCTAAATATTTTTACAGACAAATACAGATTTCAAGATGACTTAATACTCGTTTAGTCAATCTATTGGTGTTTGTTTACTTTTGTCATTGTTATTTCTTAAATGGTATGAAATATTTTAAGCTTGTTTTGCCCTATATATAATCATCTGAATAAAGGTTTTAATTGTATTTAGCATTAAAAGAATAAAAGTTGACATAACATTTGATGCTTTTCTTCCTTCGTTTTGGAGGTAATTTGTGTTCAGTTCTGCCCTAAATAAAATAAATGAAATATACACAGAAATAATTTCTGTTAGTCTTAATTCGTTTACCACATATTGTCATGACCTGAATCTAATTGGATTGTTTTTAATGGGATGTGTTTAATGTAGCGAGCAGTTTTAGTAAAATGATAACTTGTCTTCCAGACTGTTTTACCACATTGTGGAAACTGATGAGGTGAGCACAAAAATCCTGATGGAGTTCAACAAAATGAACTTACCTGGAGAAGTGACGTTCCTTCCCCTCAGCAAGCTGGACGTCAGAGACACGGCCTACCCAGAGACAAACGTGAGAGCCTCGCTTTATTTCCGACTTTTCATGTAGTTTCTGGGAAAAGATCCACTCCGAGTAGCTAATCCATAATTTAGCTGATTTTGCATTTGGTGGTGAAACGGCAATTAACACTTATCAGTCTACCTGGATCTACCTAGTGTATCATTTTTGTCTACAATGCATTTTTTGCTCAGGTGAAGATCCTTTTAGTTATGTTTCTGTCTACTTATCTTTTGCCTCAAGGATGCCATTCCCATGATCAGTAAGCTGCGCTACAGTCCCAACTTTGACAAGGCTTTTAAGCACGTTTTTGGAAAGACGCTGATTTGCCGTAGCATGGAGGTTTCCACCCAGCTGGCTCGAGCTTTCACCATGGATTGTATAACTTTGGAAGGTAAGCTAACCTTTAGCATAGCTTTGTAACTCTGAAGCTCTGTATTGGATGATCTGTGCAGTCGCTTAAATTTGGAACATCATGGTGCAATCATCCAATCTATTTCCCCCATTTATTGATAAATGAAAGGATCATATTGTGGTAGCCCTTCCTTATACTGTTAAATTTTTCTAGGGGACCAGGTAAGCCACAGAGGGGCTCTTACTGGAGGCTATTATGATACAAGAAAATCTCGCCTGGAGCTACAGAAAGACATGAGAAAGGCTGAGGAGGAGCTGGCAGAGCTGGAGGCGAAGCTCAACGAGAACCTGCGGAGGAACATCGAACATATCCTTGTTATTACAACAGTCGGAGGGTGAAAACAGGGTGATTTTATGGTTTTATCCTGAGGAAGAAATGAAGCAGAATAAAAAAAAAATAGAGGACTATACAGGATTACAGAAACAAAATGTGCTTGAGTGTCTGTTGACAGAAGTTCAAAAACATCTCATCCCCTTCCCATTGTTGACCAATCACTGGATGAGTTTACTGGAAAATGAGTCATGTAGTTTTGTAAAGTCTCCAGCAAATGGTTGCTTGATAAATCAGATGATACCCCATCCTCCACCCCACCCACATATTTATTGATTATAGTAAAATGACTCACGCTGGAATCCCGCTAATGGAGAGAGTGAATGAGATCAGCCCCTGTGTTTGTGTCTTTAGAAAGTGGATCTGTGACTAAAGCCAACTGAGATTGAATTACCCAGACTTTTAAAATCATAGATGCATTGTTTGTTTTTTTCAGCTGTCTCTTCCAGGACTTTTAAATAAATCACTGCTTTCCATGAAGCTGAAGTATTCCATGAAGCGACTGGCTCGCTCAAGTGGTAATTCACCCATCCTGCAAACAGGAAGCCGGTGTGGGTCCTTAGGAAAGACCCTTCATGCTTATACCTGCTTTGGGAAGTGGCTACCTAGTGGTTAGGGCAGTGCGCTTGGCATCCTGAGGTTCTGAGTTCAACTTCCCCACTCCCACAGACTGCCACTCTGGCTCCCTGAGTAAGAACCTTAACCCCACACTGCTCCCCGGGGGCCGAACAATGACAGCCCACTGCTCCAAAAGGGGTGGGTGAAATGCAGAGAGTTAGTCTTTTACAATGACTTCTTAAGGCGTAATAAAATGTCTCGTCCACCTCCTCCATTTTCAAATAGTAAGTGTCATTAATACGACTAAAATATATATTTTTAGCACATGCCTTCCTTTTGGGAATAAGTGAAAAATATCTATAAGCCCATCTAATCTCATATCTCCCTATTTCTAATATCTCTGTGATTTATTTCCACTTAAGATTTGCAAGAAAGAGCAGCTGGAAAGGATGCTTTACTCCTCTCCTCTTGTTGATAGAGCTACAGTAGGCAGCTTCCTCTACTTTTTAGTTAATTATGCTTTATAACAAGACTCAGTAAGACTTTGAGTGTTGGGTGATTGGTAAAACAGCTACAGGTCCAGTCTGAAGGATCTTAGGACCATGATTTGGGATTTTCATGGTATGAGTTTTTTTTTGTTTTTTTCTTCCCTGAACCTGATAGCATCATATCTGATTAAATGAATATTGAAAAGAGACCGTTTATGTAATAGTTTGAGTTCGATTTAGAAAATCAAAAATATAGGGTCAAATCTCTAATATTTAGTGTTGCAGCTTTCCATTGTTTTAATAAATAATCCACCAATTTTTTTTCAGCTGATTTAAAAAGAGATGCTCCTAGTGAATAAACATACCTCAATAAACAGTCACTTGTGCACGTTAAATACATTATAAATAGCCACTAAATCAGTGGCTATTTTAAATAGGACATTCTTTACATTAAAGAGTTTTCATCTTTAATGTTAAACCCAGAGATTTACTGTAGATCTTTTTTTTTAAATCTAATTACTGCTCTTAGCTCTTCTTTTAGCACATGGGTTTTTTTACTCTGTATGCTCCAGTTAAAGCTACAGTGTGTAATTTTCAGCGACATCTAACGTCCAGACTGCAGACCGCAGCAACATGAACATCTCCCCCCCACCGCTTCTCCCCCCCAACAGTACGGCGAGCGTTACGGGACAAAATGTCTTCCACGACGTCCGCATCACCTACCTTCTCAAGTGATGAGGTTTGTTTACATAGATAATTTTACAGATAGTATTTCATTAGTCTGTGTAGGGTATAGATTTCAGTACCGTCTCAGTTAATCTCTCTCAACTTGCCGTTGTTACTTTCGAGCGTAATGGGCGATCTCGCAATCGCTAGTTTGTTGGCTCTGCGCTGCCGTAGCGCAAAGATGTCTGCCTCCATGGCTGCGAGACCCGCTCCTATGTAATTATAAATAACGAATTCTAAGGCAACGCAAATATTAAGGTTAAGAGGCTGAGCTCGTAGATGATGATAAATAACATAGTTATGTATAATATATTACATTTCTGACTGTATATCCCTATAATTATTACACACTGTAGCTTTAAGTGTTTCAGATTGTAAATATACATAATTGATCAATTATCTTATTATTTGAGGTGTAATTAAATGGAAGATTTGCATCTTGACCATATGTGTTTTTAACCATCAAAACTTTTGTAATGGCTAAATAATTCTGGCGAAGCATTTGATCCAACTGCCCATTTATTTTTGTTGGGTCCATGGTTACGGTAAACTGGCTTCACTAGGTGGTGACACTGGTAATTCAACATCTTTTTAGCAGATTATAAGCATTTATATTTGAGTTCTGAGTGTGCTAGCATGCAAATGATCTACAAATACTTGGCAAAACTGGTTTTGGGTTAGACAAACAGGCTAACGGCTTTTAAAATTGCTCTTACTTATCCTCCTGTTAATAAAGCTGGGTCTTTGGCAGGTAACCAGCTGATCTAAATGAACCCTACTGGTTTTATCAGGAAAGACGGATGGACATCCTGCCAGAAATGGGTCAGAAGCTTGTTTACGGCTTCAAAAAAACCAAACAGCTCAAATCAAATCCAAATTTACTTCTAACAATACACTGCATTAACCATAAGGCTTTACAGTTAAAGAAAAAATAATACAAATATATAAACAAACAATATAAACAAATGTATAATAAATACAAAATGCTTTAAAATTAAAATAAAAAATGACGTTGAAAGCAAGAAATAAAAAGGATTCAAAAATAAAAACATCAAAATACTAAAAGATGATCCTAAAGGATTCTAAAGATCTTTTGTTATTATATTCCTTTTTTTTTTCTTACCAGTATTGGATGCCTTGTTTGATTAACTGCTGCATGAGATAGTAAATAAATTAAAAATCAGATTAGTATATGCTAAAAAAAAAAAAATAATTCTGATATGAGTTACTGTTTTGGAAGGCTGTGCATAAAAGCGTTTTTAATGAGTAGACAGCCTGTTTGGGGGGAAAGTGAGAACACTGGCTTCATTATAGTGGGATCTCACATGGCTGAGCCTATATTTTGGATGTGGAGATGCGGATTAAATCCACTGTGGACTTGTAGCTACCTCAGAGCCAGAAGGACCAGGGTTTAAGCAGGTCGTGAAGGATTAGTGTATATTGGGTCATATCTGCCAGAGCCATGACTCATTCACGACAGCACATGAAGGCATAACAAGCGGATTGGAGGGGATTTGAATGTGCAGTATGGTTGAATACGGTAACTTTATCTGCTGGTATAATTTAAAATGTGTGCTGTGTTTAAGCCTCACACAGGCAGTAATGGGGTATGGTGGGGGAAATCTGCTGTTGATTCTTAAGGTGTAGGTGTCGATAGGCAGGTTGTTGTCCTTTATCCCTGCAGTGAGTCAGAGTGGATCAATTATTTAAAAGCCTCTTGTTGTCCACTCTCCTCCTCCTGCCCTGTACAGGATTATAAAATGATGCACTTTGCTTTCTTTTCTGTTTCCTTTTCACTGCATCTTCCATTAGAGCTTGTCATGTTACTTCAGGGTTCCCGCAGGTCCTTAAAAAGTCTTAAAAGGCATTGAATTCTTCAAAATAAATCTAAGGCCTTAATTGGTATTAAAATGTCTTAAATCAGTCTTTCGTAGGTCTTAATTTTTAAAACATAAATAGGATTATTTTTATTACGATTAATTTTTGTAATCTAAATAAACTGTTAAAATTGACAATTTTCGTTTTTTTATAAATAAAAAAAAATAACGGCTCGCCATCATTATTGGTTCCGTCCCGATAGTGGAACCAATAAAAGCGTTGTTGCAGCCGGGACATTTGGGAGTTGCACCATTAACTTTTTGTCTGGAAAATATGAGCAAGTGTAAATGTAACCAAAATTGTCTATCCAGCCAAGAGTTTTCTCCATGGCTAAAACCAGTACCAGGGAACATACATGAGGCACAGTGCATTTTGTGCAAGAATTCATTCAAGCTCGGAATGATGGGAATTGTGGCAGTGGAGTCGCACATGCGAAGCATGAAACACAAATCGTCAAAATTGAGTTACAGAGAGACAGCCGGTATTTCTCAGTTTAGTTCCACCCTTGTCTCTGCAACGCCTCCACTTATCACCAAATCAAACATACTAAGAAAACCATACAAAGAAAAATGGCTGAAAAAAAGACTTAGCACTGGTTATGTTTTGGCTTTAAAACTGATTTGTTTTGTTCCCTGCTAAAACAAAGTTTGTGAATTCAGTTAAATAATTGTTAAATTATATCTGTCATTTGTCTGTTTTTTGCTTTCTTCCTGTATGGAAAGTTTTTCAAAATTTGAAACATTAGTGCAGTGGTTTATGTTAAAATAAACCTTTGGGTAAAATTTTTGCAAGCAGGTTTTTCTTGTGTTTCTTGTGAATTTGGTCTTAAATTTTTATTTCAAGTGGTATTAAAAAGTCTTAAAAAGTCTTGAATTTAACTTTCCTTATGCTGTAGGAACCCTGTACTTGCTGATACTGCTACAGCTCGGTAAAGTTAGCATGATAACTCGGTTTTATTTTTTCTCTCATATGATCTGTGTGGTCCTAAACCATAAATCAAAAACCTGCTTTCTTTACTATATCAGAGAAACACATTCTTAGTTTTAGTTTTTTACTGATTTGTTTGTTTAAATGGTTGGCTGCTGTTTAACCAAATGGGTTCAGCAGGTTAGTTAACCTCTGCTAATTTAGCCCAGTCAGGATGGTTTGTTGCTCTTTCTAATCTTTTGCCTTCATATCTCGTTTGAAAGTATCTCCCTTCAGAAGTCTGGTTGCTTTAAGTCTTGACGTGGCCCTAAAAAGCCCACAGTCTGCCCCTTTACTGCACCTGCTAATAAGATTAACTTCTGCAAATCAATGTCTGCCCTACTGCTGGACATAAATCTGATCAAAAGATGGCACATTATATTGAAATGTAAAAATAAAACATTTCATGATTGTGTTTTGATTACACATTTTCTTTTCATCTAAAATAATCTGTCAATCTTCAGGGGTCTAAAACATACAGCCCATGAAATTCGACAAAATTGAAAGATATACCGAATGGCTCCAACAGATATTGACAATTGGCAAGTAGACGAATTGTTTTAAAGGAGAGCAGCTGCAGAACCATTAGTCAGGAGTCCCATTGACCAAGTTCACTCCTGTTCCTGTAAAACGGGCTGAATGTTGCCATAGTAACCAGTTTTTACTATTTCAGGGCCCTTTTTGCATTAGTCCAGGAACCTGGGCTACATGTTTAAAATCCTCTTTCCCCTACATTCTGTCCAGCTATGATCATGTAGAGCACCCTCTAGATGATGTTTATACATATTTAAAAGCAAACCTAATGGTTCTTACACACTGGAAATACTGGAGGTTTGATACATGGGAGCCTTTTAGCAATAGCATAAAGAGAAAATTAATGATTTTTTTTTTTGTTTTTTAACAGAACTTTTCTATTCCTGAAATCTTAGAGCCTTGCTCTTACTTTAGTTCAAATAATAAGCTTAAAGTCTGTGTATTCACTTAATATCGTTTAGTTTTTTCCTGTTTTGTCAAAATGTTTTATATCATGTTGCAATAATTATTATAGGAGAAATAAATGGAGAGAGGTTTTTATTATCATTTTTACTATCAAGTTGAAAAATGCCTTTAGAAATATACCGATAACTGTTTAGCTCAGAAATGTATTAGACATATTAAAGACCGAGACGATTATCCCCTTAATGTCTGCTCCACGTATCAACAATGAGATCGACCAGCTGATGAACCAGATGCAGCAGATAGAAACCCAGCAGAGGAAGTTTAAGGCCTCCAGAGATAGTATTCTGTCAGAGATGAAGATGCTGAAGGAGAAGAGGCAACAGTCCGAGAAGACCTACATGCCCAAGGTTAATCATTCATTCATTTATCCTTTTTTATATCAAGTGCTTTACAAACCAAATCCAACCAAAAGGCTGCACAGCTAAATAAAACGTTTTTACCAGAATGATTTAAAGTGGCAGAGCATTTATTGTTTGATCCCACAACAGCTAGCTACTGCAGTCCAGTCTAGAAGTAAACAAAACATGAAAACCCCTCCTGGACAAAGGAAAATAATCTTAGATGTTATTTGGATTTTAATGATGTGTTTATTGAACTTTTTTTTTTTTTTTTTTATCAAGGATCATCCAAAGACTCCTGATAGAAATCCCATTTCACCCCTTGGCCCCTTTCCTCCATTTTACATGTTCATGTGTAGGGGTAGGGGTTTCCCAATACCCGTTAGGATGGAGGGATAGGGGTACTTTATACTCTCCTTCAAACAATGATCTTAGAGCAAGCTTCAATAGGAGCAGTAAGATTTTCATGCCAACGTAGTTAAACATCAGGTTTTTGGAGATGATGCCATAACATCACCAACATTTGTAAATTCTGTAAGATGACAAAGGAAGCAGCTCATTTGTAGTTTGTTTAAATACTTTTTTGTAGTAATATTTGGGATTCTGAGGAGCAAAAACATGTACTGAGCTTAACCACTGTTACTGATCTTACTACTTTTACTTTGCAAACCCTTCTCTCACATTAGTGCATCCATCTGATCTTGACTAAATAAATGACAATATATGTTAAGCAGAAACTAAATGTGTAAAATAGGTTGAAGATGCACTGAGATTTATGACTCAAAGTTGAGACTTTTGGAAAATGCGCAAGTAACAGTGCTGGAAAATGTCTGCCTTGTCTGTGAGTCTATGTGTTGATTGTCTGTTTTCTCATGTCTTCAGCAACGCAGTCTCCAAAGCTTGGAGGCCAGCCTCCACGCCATGGAGTCCACCAGGGAGTCGCTGAAGGCAGAGCTTGGCACTGATCTCCTCTCTCAGCTCAGCTTGGAGGATCAGAGACGTGTTGATGACCTCAACGACGAGATCCGTCAGTTACAGCAGGTCAGGAGAAAACATGATGTATAGCTGCACATAAAGCTGTGGAAACACTCATGCCTTCAATTAGCTGCCATGTCATAAACTCAGCCTGTTTTTTGACCTGTGTCTTTGAGCATTTTTAGTCACATTGATACTTTGTTACATCTGTAAATATTGGTGGGTTTCTCTTAAGCACATCTCAACCACTCAGCAGCCACTTAGCCTGAGCTGGAGTAGATCTCCCATGTTTGTTTACATGCATATCGTCCTGCTCCTTCTCAAACACACAGCTGGATGCACATCTGTGCCTCCGGTTTCCAGCGCTGTGGAAATTACTACAGGTGACGATTGATTGTTTTGAAGCCTGGTGGTTAATAGATTTTTTTTGTTTGTCCAGCATTTTTTGTATTGTCATTACACTGACACAGCAGTGGGCTGCCATTGTGTGGCCCCCAGAGAGCAGTGTGGGGGTTAAGGATCTTTTGCTCAGGGACCCACAGTGGCAGTCTGTGGAAGTTGGGTTTTAACCTCTGGATTCCAAGCACAATGCCCTAAGCACCAGGCCACCATTCCCCAGATCTACAGTACATTTGTCAAACTTTTAGCCTGGGTACCAATCCGAACTTAGTCCCCCCCACAACGTTTGAGGTCGGGAAGTTCGGTCTGGCATTGCTCAATAGTAGCGTGAGTATGCTTGCACAATATCTGCCGGGCCAATCAAATTGTCAGGGCGGGCTTTATACGATGATGGACAGATGATAAACAGTAACGTAATCAACCACGTGACCAAAGCGCGCTTTGGTGACAACAATAATGGCTGCCGCTGGAGAGTTGAGGTGTGTAGATTCTGCTATTAGGTCTGTTCTAGAAGATATCGACAGCAAATTAATTTTAAAAGAGGAACAGAGAAACGCGATCAAGGCTCATCTTCTTATTCTAGGCGTGCAACTGCACGCTTTGATTTTTGTTGACAACAGCTATGCGTTGCTTAACATACGTCACGCACTCCGTTGCTCTTATTGGTTGTAGGTCTATCCAATTGCGTGCAGAGGCATTTTTTTTTCCTGGTTCGTTCGAAACACACCCCATAATCACAGCTCTATGGAGCAGTATCAGACTCATATTCTGACTAGAATTGAGTAGGACTACGTCAGGCTATCAAACTGTAGGCCCGCAGGCAAAATACAACCCACCAAGGCAATTTATCTGACTTTCGTCGGATCTAAAAGTAGAGGCTTGTGTTCTTTTGAATGTGAATAGATGCTGAACAGCAAGTAAACGTATGATACTAGCAGTTTGCTCTTTGTAAATGAGATTTGAAATAAAAAGTTTAATTAAAAATACTTCTTTTTTTTTTTTTTTAAGAACCCTCGAATCAGTGTTAAAATGGGCCAGTTTTATCAATTGGTTTGCTAACAATGTCCTGATGTTTCATCTATATACTTGGTTTTGATCATATTACTATAAAAAGATGACTTTAAAATTTGAAACATGACATGATAATTGAATTCCAGTGTTTATTGTGTGAAATTGTTGTTATTGTTTTGTTTTTGTCTTTGATTGAAGCGCTTCTGACCTGAAATCAAAAAGCCCATTTAGAATGTAATTGTTGAATAGAAAATGGAGAGCTCCTCTTCTGATGGAGGGGATTCAGAACAACCATCTGTTTCCTCCAACTCTATTGTTTTCCACCATTGTTCTGGAGCTGCTGCTGCGGCTGCATTGAGATGATCGGGGTGAGGCTGCAGCTGTGTGTGGGATGCAGCTGTGATCTTTTTCCATCTCACTGCCTGCTGCTCACAGCTCTCACTGAGCTCCTCTTATCTCTGTACAACAACTCCGACTTCTCAATGGGAACCTTTTATCACGAATTTCACTGTTTGCAGCTGCCCAATTATATTTCCTGTGATATAACCCACAGTTTTTTTTAATAAAAGAACTATTTTTATCATGGCATTTAGCTGGACCTGATTTAAGGTTTACTGTGATGTTGTAGGGGTTGTTGATGAAGGCAAGTAGTTTCCTATAATACATAAAGGAAGCAAAGACTTTAACATAATTTATTGTAAATGAAACGACAGCCTAAATGACTAATGGATGAGCTCTGATCCCTTTGTTCTCCCTCAGGACAACAGGCAGCTGTTAAACGAGAGGATCAAGCTGGAGGGAATCATGACCAGAGTGGAAACGTATCTTAATGAGAACTTACGGAAACGTCTCGATCAAGTAGAGCAGGTAACCATGTTTGTTTCTCTTTAGCCTGTTTTCATGTGTACTTTGTTGTAATGCTGTATAAATATAATTCATTTGAAATTAAGGCTTTGTATAACGAAACATCTGCTGGAGTAAACTGAAGTTCTGGAATATCTGAAGATTCTGTCATCCAGGTCATGGTCAAGCTTGAAAAGTTCAGTTTAGACAACTGGATGTGAAGATGCAGAAGGTCTAACGACCATTAACCCTTTCAGGTGACCTCCATGCCCAATCCAGTAGGAGGGATCAGCGCCACCTTTTTTTCTCCCTAATTCTTGTTTCCACCTGCAGTATATTAACCTCAGTGCTCCTAACTCTAGTTAGAACTGAAGAAACCTCTTGGATGAGAGGTGAAACGTCTTCTAGAAAACTTCACATCCAGTTGCCTAGACTGAACCTTTTCAGGCCTCAAGTTCTTGAATTATTTTAATATTATTACTATTTCAGACCTGCAAAAATCAGAATGGTATAAAGGCTCCATGATTCTTTCTCCTTTGTTTTTGATAATACAGGAGCTGAATGAGCTGCGTGAGACAGAAGGAGGTACAGTGCTGACGGCGACTACATCTGAGCTGGATGGCATCAACAAACGAGTAAAAGATACCTTGGCTCGATCTGATGGTGGGTTTCATTGTAAAAGGTTTTTTAGACTTTTTTTCTTTAGTCCTATATAATTATTTTTTTTATTGGTAATAGTATCGGGTCTAATTAAAACCCAAGTACATTTTGAAATTGTATTTGGTTTTGTTAATTTTATTCTTAAAAAGGAAAGGCATCCACAGCAGCTTAGCTATGGAGGCCATCCCTCCAGAGGCAGAAGCCGCTGACGGTTCTGCTGGATGACACTTCCTGTTAGAAGGGAGGGTTTTCCTCTCCATTGTAGCCACATGCATGGTCAGTGTGAGGGATTGCTGCAAATACAACAACACATTGGGAGCGACTGACCACTACCATCCCATGGTCATCCAGGAGGAGTTAATTTTTTAACTTAATGCCATCAGCTTGGTTTCTTTTAATAGCCATTTTTTTTAACAATCTATCTTTAGGGTTTCATTACAGATTCTTAGATAATTGGCTTAAGAGGACATGTGTTTTCAACTTATATGAATAAACTGAACCACACTGAAAGAGAAATCCTAAATCATATTTATATTTAATCACTATTGGAAGAGGAATTATTTTCCAGGATGAGTGAATGTGGAAAAACTAACAATTTCTAAAATGAAAACTAAAGTTAAGAGGCCATCAATTTCCTACTAGGAAGTTAAGTGCATTTAACAAGGAGTTCATGCGGTGGATTAACAAAAGCAGCACATAACAGAAGTATCTAATAAAGGGTTTTCTCTCATATTCAGGGGATTTTACACCTAATGCCCCTCCTATCCTTACCTGATTCCAACCCGGACCCTCTGCATTACAGTTAAAGGGCTCAATCGACTCACCCTGGGGACTTGTAGATTTCCCATAGCATAGCATAGCATAGCATGCTTTTATATCTATTTCCTCTCCTCTGAAATAAAATCCAGTGTACTCACTGACCTTTGGAAGTCCCCTAAATAATGAGTAGTTCCACTGTGGGTTGCATAAAATCAACTGGTGTGAAAACAAGAAGAAAGTCATTGAGAGTCACAGTGGGTTTCTTCAACATTGGGAGATGTTGAGAGACACCCATAATAAAATCCCATCAGTAGCTCGTCAGAGACCATGTTGTAGACATAGATGATGGTGCCCTCTTCAGGTAGGACCAAACACCTCTCCCTGAACACATTTCCTACAGTAAAACATAGTGGTGGAAGCCTCATCCTGTGGGAATTATGCTGTGTGCAGTTTCGACAGGACAGCTGATCTGATGAGGATGCAGGAGATGTAAACCTGGAAACATTTAAGGGGCAATACATACCTTTTAAATCAACTATAGGAGTTGATCTGAGTTACTGTTCTGGAAACCCACTGAAAGAGTTTTCTAATCATGGTGCTTCTTCTCTAAATAAACTGTCAACCTATTTTCTGTTACCAGATCTGGACGGTCTCATCGACAAGACGGAAGCAGAGATCAAGGATCACATCAAGAGCATGGAGCGTTGGAAGAACATCGAGAAGGAGCAGAATGACGCCATCAACCACGACACCAAGGAGCTGGAGAAGATGACCAACAGGCAGGGAATGCTGCTGAAGAAGAAAGAGGAGTGCATGAAGAAAATCCGAGAACTGGGCTCCCTGCCTCAGGAGGCCTTTGAGAAGTACCAGACCCTCACACTCAAACAGGTACGCTCACACTCCTCTGTTATATGTTGTGAGGACTGTCTGTTGATTTTTAAGTCCCTGACAATAACCCTAACATTATCAGTAATACCTAACCTAAATTCAATTCATACCTTCGTCTTAAACCTAACTATAAGCAAAATGTCCTCACTTTGGTTCAAACGTTCCTCACTCTGATGCCAAGGCGGGAGCAAACACACACCGCCTTAGCGGCACATTTTCTGTAGACTTTAGTGCCTCTTGGTTTAAATGGGAGTTTTTCTAATGTTTATGTTAAAAATTAAATAATTATTTTCGTTGGATAGTCTTATAGTTTCAAAAATTATAGCGGATATTATTATTCTTTTCAGAGAAAACCCCTAGGTAAATGAGGAGACAAAGGTGAATGGAATTTAATAATTAACACAAGGCTTTGGCTGAGGGAGAAGTGATTAAAATGCGTAAAACATGGAAAATACATTGAATAAACCATGAGAACAAATCTAACAATACCAAAATAAGCATTTGAAAAGTAAAGGCAGAACCTTCTAAAAGCACTTTGTTTGAACCCCTGAGGGGCTTTAAAAACAAAAAGGCCTGTCTTTTTTTGCGCTTTATGAAACAAAGTAGCCTATATTTTGTGGATGTACAGCTACATTTCAGTTAATGAGCAACCTGTACTTGTGTGCTTGCTTGTTCTGTCTAAAATGTTTATTTTGGAATAAAGAGGTTAATATAAAAAAAATATTTTTTGTCCGATTCATCGATTAATCGAAAAAATAATCGGCCGATTCATAGATTTTTAAAATAATCGTTAGTTGCAGCCCTAATCTACACATTTAAATGAGAAAAGGCCTCCAACTGATATTAGCGTAATTTTTCTATTTCAGTTTTTTTCTTTTGTCTTTGCCTAGGTGTTTCATCACCTCAGGCCTCCATCAGTTTTCTTTGTTTCCACTATTTTAAAGGACACTGCAGTCTGTTAGTCACTAAAAAGCTTCATTTTTTTTTAGTTGTTCAGGATTTGTTTCTGAAAAAAGAGGGTTTTGCAGAGTACTATTTAAGATGATGAACAAAAAGAAGATTTGTCAAGGGGCCTAAAAATTTGCAGATAAACAGGATTGAGAGGACGAGTTTTTTTTTTTTTTTTTTTGAGACAGGCGGCTAGAAATAGAGAGAAACGATCTAAGATTGTTAGTTTTCAGTATGGGGGTGCAACAGTGACAGAACTCTGGGTTATCCCTTGAATTATGTCTGAATGACTCATACAGCCTGGTTTGATTAGCTTAACAAAGGAACTTATGGGGTGTTAGAGCACAGCTAAGTAAAAACAGAAAAACTTTGAAGGAATCTACAGACGGCAACCCATTTTGAACGTAACAAGAAAGCCTGAAACAAAATACAGGTTTTAAAACTGTAACTTTATTGACTGAGATTTCTAGGAATAGACTAGCATTAATGAGAGGTAAAAACTTGATTAATTTCTTACGAAATGGAAAAAAAAAAATGCTGACTTCATTAATTTACCCCTGATGTCTCTAAATATAATCCAATCAGACGTGTTAAATATATAGATATTTAAAGCCACAGTAGTTCTTTGGAGAAGATTAGTGAATAAACCGCTTCCTGGTTAGGGAGAAGGTTGTGGAGAAGTTAAAGCAGGTTTCAACTTGGATACAAAACATCCCAATCTTTGTTGATGTCACTGAGAGCTGTTTAGTCCATCATGAGAAAAGAGCTTTGTAGGACTGCAAACCTACCAGAATATGGACCGCTAACTAAACTAGCAGCACAGGCACTACAAAAAAAGTTAAGATTTATCAAAAGAATATTTACCCTTAATTTAAGGAGGTAAATAATATGCCAACCTACCAATGGAATTAGTATTTTTACTCTTAAAATAAGATGGTTAGATATTTTGTATGTGAAATATAATTGCCTTTGTTTTTAAATGTTGTCTTATTCAACTGACAAAGTGTCTCATTTACCAGCTTTATTCAAGAAGAAATGCTCTTATTTTAAGAAAATGTGACTATTTTTGCAGAGGGAAAGGAGGGCTTTGGTTAAAAGAAGCTTTAAAGAGGCACATGGTACATCTGTAGGAGCTGCAGAGATCCACAGCTCAATCAATCATGAACTGTTATTAGCAATGCTAACTGCTAATCCTGCCTCTTTTACAGAGTTTGCTCAAAAGAAAAGCACTGATGGGGGGGAAAAAACACAATAATACAGATATCATCTGCAGTTATTTACAAAATGTTTAAAATGCACAACAAACACTTGGAATTTGACCAAAAAGATCAAATGCTGGAACCATGACAGCGGTGCGACCGAAATTTAGGAGTAAAAAGTTCAAACCGGAAGTTTTCATATGGGAAACCTCATTTAATAACGGTTTAATTTGATTTTACTAATGACAACATTCAACGATAACTAACTGGCTGTGCTAGAGGGCTTGTTGTGTTTCCCCAAGTCTGACCTGGAAATGTGCGCAGAGACACAGGCTACAGCCACGTTTCTTTGGGAATAAAGTGGAGGACCATCACCTTCCACCCACCCACTCACCAGTGACTCAGACACAAGTGCTCTGTCTAATTTTTGCTCTCTGCCTTTGGGAGAAAAGTCTGTGATGAGTGGACTTGGCTGCGTCTTTCATAAGTGTCTGAGTGTCCGCTGTGTGTGTGTGTCTGTGTGTATCTTTACCCGCACACCCCCTTCAACAAAGCCCAGAATAGCTTCACACTTTCTCATAAACATTTCATCTCGTTAATGTTGCTCCTCAGGAAGCCACATCGGGGGCAGGATGCTACTGCTGATTGCACAAGTGGAGGAGAGGACTGAGCACTAATGGCAACTCGTGTCGCTTTGCCCGTCGGCTTTAAACTGACGGATTTATGGCTTGAGAGCTTAGAATAATTGTCTGCCTAAATAGCTGCTGCTTTAAAAATAAAAACTTCTCCTACTGAAATTAATAATTTCATGTAAACAGAATGTTTATGAGGAAATCAATGATTTTCTAGCACTAACAAATCAGAGTTTTTGTTGAGCTTCAGTAAAAGCTTTAGTTTTTTTTAGAATGATTGCAAAGAAGTGACTGAATTATTGCTCTTTTATGGAGTATATATGTGTTTTATACAACATTTATATCTTCTGTAAATGTATTAGAATAAAAGGAAGCAGAGCTTAAAAAGATAAACCATCATTAACCTGAGAAGACTTTTTACAGACTGCCAGTCTGCTCTGCTAATGGTGACAGGATGTGATGTGATGATCTGCCTCCACAGTTGTTCAGAAAGCTGGAGCAGTGCAACACGGAGCTGAAGAAGTACAGCCACGTCAACAAGAAGGCCCTGGATCAGTTTGTCAACTTCTCCGAGCAGAAGGAGAAACTAATCAAGCGTCAGGACGAGCTCGACCGAGGCTACAAATCCATCATGGAGCTCATGAACGTGTTGGAGCTGCGCAAGTACGAGGCCATCCAGCTCACCTTCAAACAGGTACGACCAGCTAGACTCCATGAAGGAGCAGACGCAAATATTCTGCTGCATTAAAAGCACAACCAGATCAGAGCCTGTTGTGACTCTCTTGTCATTTCCCCCCACCCGCCGTGAAGGTGTCCAAGAACTTCAGCGAGGTCTTCCAGAAACTGGTTCCTGGAGGCAAGGCTACACTGGTGATGAAGAAGGGCGATGCTGAAGGCGGCCAGTCCCAGGACGAGGAGGGGGGAGCGGACAGCGAGCGGGGATCTGGCTCCCAGAGCAGTGTCCCTTCAGTGGACCAGTTCACAGGAGTCGGCATCAGAGTAAGGATCCGCATCTCATCCTGGTTTACTGAGAGCCGATGTATCAGGTTATCTGATCCAGTAGAGACAAACATTTCTGGTTATCAGCATTAGCAGTCTAGAAATGTCTGATGTTGTCCATGTTTAGTATTTTCAGACTTAAAGCCTTTCCGTCTGTCCTGAAGGCTCACCACTGCAGAACTATCTCTCTTTAACCAGTAGATAAAACAATTTGTTTCTATGTCTATTAGAAATATATTACGTTTTCCCAAGAGATGTTGGAGGTGGATGTAGTTTTGTTTTTGTTAGAATAAAAATCCCCCCATCGCTGGATCCCTCCCCATCAACCAGAGCCAAGGTGAAGTTAGTCATGCACTGAGTAATACAGGCTAAATTTATCCTGACCAGAATGAAAGCTATCTTAACGGTTCCCATTCCTTAACTGAGCCCCCAGAGCCGATTAATGTGCTTTAACAATGAAGCCGTTTGGTAAGATGGATGGATCTGTGCGTCTGCCTGGCAGGTGTCTTTCACTGGGAAGCAAGGGGAGATGAGGGAGATGCAGCAACTGTCTGGAGGCCAGAAGTCTCTGGTGGCCTTGGCTCTGATCTTTGCCATCCAGAAGTGTGACCCAGCTCCTTTCTACCTGTTTGATGAGATCGACCAGGCCCTCGATGCCCAGCACAGGAAGGCCGTCTCAGGTAAACCACGTAAAAGGCTCAATCATTAGAAGGAGATAGAATCCAATCACATCATATTTTATCTGGGATTACTTTTGAGGTTACCTCAATATTGTTTTTACTACTTATTTCAAGCTAACTTAAAACTAACTGATTCTATTTTACACAAGTGGTGAATAAAACTGAATTAAATTGTACTCCTATCCTCCTGAGATGGACTTTAATTAAAGATTAGTTTTTTTTTTAGATTCAGATAAAGGATACTTAAAAATCATTAAAAGCCATTTTGTTTTAAAACTGTAATAAATAGCCATTTGACATCATGGATCCCAATATGGGACGAGCAAAGTGTTTGATGTTTATCGTTTTCAGGAAAAGAAATAATTTATGAAGATAATCAGAAACCTCTACTGGGTGTTTATTGCTCTCATAAAATCCAACAGCATAATTGGGATTTATCACTTTTCCGTGTTGAATTATATTTCCCCTCCTTTGGTTTTATGAGATATTCATGGATTCTGTAGATATGATTGGAGGCTGTGGTTTTAAAATGTGGGGCTGTTTATTAGCAGTACAGCTGCACGGAGGTGGCTGGATTAAAACAAAATGAACGCCATTTATCGCATCCGCTAAGTTACACGATCGTTTAAAGTCTGTAACAGTTTCTTTCTCAGGCACAAGAATTTAACTCTACATCAAGTTTAAGCAACTAGTTGAGAAACTAAAAATATGAGGCTTAAGGTTGCAGAATGCATCAGTTTGCAATCATAACCACAGTATTAGGTGAGTGCAGATTTTCATTAGTCATAGACTGTTGGATGTGTTTGATCATTTGGACGAAGTTTAATGTAACTAAAACTCACAGAGACGTTTAGGAGGATTGCCTAAATGAGAGAAAATTTTGGGTGAATCCAAACCAATATGCTAACTCTGTTCCTGGCAGCCTTAAATGTGTCGCAACCCTTCGATTAAGTCTGATGTTACTCCGACCCAAAGGGAACCTCACCAGCCACATTATTATTGACGGTCCTGACTTTCTGTATTTTTACACAACTGATTTGTTGTAGTTGTAGTTTAACACACATCTCTGCAGCTTCTCTACTGTTACCCACTCTTTACTCCATCCAGACAGTGTCTTGCCCACGACCAAAATCTAATAAATTAGCAAAGATTCCCAAAGGAGTAAATCATGATAATCTAATTAAAATCAAAATAACTCAAATTGGGGAAAAAGTTAAAACAATTAAATGCGGTCTGTTTAACATAAGATCGCTTTCCTCTAAAAGTCTACTAGTTAATGACTTGATTTGTGATAATCACATTGACTTGTTTTGCCTTACAGAAACCTGGCTGCAGCAAGAGGATTATGTGAGCATAAATGAGGCAACTCCTTCAAGCTATTTAAATTTTCACATCCCCAGAAGTTCTGGGCGAGGAGGAGGAGTAGCAACAATCTTCCAGTCTGACTTACTGATTACTCCCAAAACAGTTAATACCTACAACTCTTTTGAACATTTAACCCTTAATTTCCCTGATCCAAATTTCAAGGCAAGAAAACCTCTTCTTTTTGTAACTTTGTATCGTCCACCAGGTCCTTACTCTGAATTTTTAGATGAGTTTTCAGAGTTCCTTTCTGATTTGGTATTAAATACTGACAGGGTCATCATAGTGGGAGATTTTAACATCCATGCTGACATTGAAGGCGATAGCTTAAGAGCAGCCTTTAATGCTATCTTAGACACTATTGGCTTTGTTCAAAATGTGAATAGTCCCACGCATTCTCATCTTCATACTTTGGATCTTGTGCTGACATACGGCATAGAATGTGAAGAAATAACAGTATTTCCTCACAACCCTGTCCTCTCTGACCACTTTCTAATAACCTTCAGGATTACTTTAACAGAGTTCTCCTCCCCCAAAAGAAGGTTCAATTTTAGTAGATCTTTATCAGATAGTGCAGTTATAAATTTTAAAGAATCTGCTTCACTTTCTCTCTCCTCTGTGTCACTGAGCAGTGCTGCAGAGTGCAAAAGTTTAGCTTATTCCCCTTCACAGGTTGATGATTTTGTTGATGGGGTTGCTAGTTCTCTGCGTATTGCCTTAGACAACGCAGCTCCTTTGAAAATGAAAACCGTTAAAAATAGAAAGCTTGCTCCTTGGTTTAATGCAGAGCTGCGTACTTTGAAGCAAAATGCTAGGAAACTGGAGAGAAAATATCGCTCCACAGGCCTGCGAGAGTCCTTCCTAGTCTGGAAAAATGGTTTACTGCTGTATAAGAGGACCCTTTGTAAAGCAAGAGCAGCATACTTCTCCTCATTAATAGAGGAGAATAAGAATAATCCTAGATTTCTTTTTAATACAGTTGCCAAACTCACCCAGAGCCATAGCTCTGTTGAACCGTCCATTCCACCTGCTCTTAGCAGCAATGACTTTATGGGATTCTTTATAAATAAGATTGATCTTATTAAAAATAAGATCATAAGCACTCCTCTATCCGCGATTGTACCTGAGGTAGTCATGGAATCTGAACTGGGTTTAGACTGCTTTGATCCAGTTGAACTCTCTGAATTAGCAAAATTATTGTCTTCATCTAAGCCTTCAACTTGTATGTTAGATCCAGTTCCAACCAGGTTATTTAAGGAGGTATTCCCTTTGATCTCCTCCTCCATTTTAGATGTGATTAATCTATCTCTGTTACAGGGATATGTACCTAAAGCTTTTAAGGTTGCTGTAATTAAACCTCTGCTTAAGAAACCGTCTCTTGACCCAGATGACTTGGTCAATTATAGACCTATATCCAATCTTCCTTTCTTATCCAAAATTCTTGAGAAAGTAGTTGCCAAACAAGTTTGCGATCACTTCCACCATAATGAACTTTTTGAAGAGTTTCAGTCTGGCTTTAGAGCTCATCATAGCACTGAAACAGCTCTGGTGAAAGTCACTAATGATATTCTCATGGCCTCAGATAATGGACTTGTATCTGTGCTCGTCCTGTTGGATCTTAGTGCTGCATTTGATACAGTTGACCATAATATTCTTTTAGAAAGACTTGAATATTTTGTTGGAATTAAAGGAACAGCACTAGACTGGTTTAAATCTTATCTATCTGATCGAATTCAGTTTGTTCATGTTAATGATAGATCTTCAACACGCTCAAAGGTTACCTGTGGAGTACCACAGGGATCAGTGCTAGGACCAATTCTCTTTACTTTATACATGCTCCCAATTGGTAGAATTATTAGACAGCATGGGATTAATTTCCACTGTTATGCTGATGATACCCAGCTATATCTGTCTATAAATCCAGATGAAGCTAACCCATTACATAGATTACAGGCATGTCTTGAAGACATAAAAACCTGGATGACTCTTAACTTTCTGCTTCTGAATGCAGACAAAACAGAAGTTATAGTCTTTGGACCAGAGTCTCTGAAAAAGAAACTGATTAGCCAGTCACTTCATTTGGATGGGATTAAACTGATTTCAGATAATAAAGTAAAAAATCTTGGTGTTGTTTTTGATCAGGACCTGTCATTTAGGTCCCATATCAAGGAGGTTTCTAGAATTTCCTTCTTTCATCTGAGGAACATTGCAAAAATTAGAAATATCCTGTCCAGGGGTGATGCTGAGAAACTAGTCCATGCATTTGTTACTTCAAGGCTGGGCTATTGTAATTCTTTACTATCAGGAAGTCCACAAACTGTAGTTAAAAGCCTTCAGCTGATCCAAAATGCTGCAGCCAGAGTTCTAATGAAAATTAAAAAGAGAGATCATATCTCGCCTATCCTGGCTTCTCTTCATTGGCTTCCTGTTAAATCAAGAATAGAATTTAAAATCCTCCTTCTCACATATAAAGCCTTAAATGGCCAAGCTCCATCTTATATCAGAGATCTGATTGTTCCTTATGTTCCTAACAGAGCACTTCGCTCTCAATCTGCAGGTTTACTAGTGGTTCCTAGAATTTCTAAAAGTAGAATGGGAGGCAGATCTTTTAGTTATCAGGCTCCTCTCCTGTGGAACCAACTACCAGTTTTAGTCCGTGAGGCAGACACCCTGTCTACTTTTAAGGCTAGGCTTAAAACTTTCCTTTTTGATAAAGCTTATAGTTAGAGTGGCTCAGGTTATCCTGAGCTATCTCTATAGTTATGCTGCTATAGGCTTAGACTTCTGGAGGACATAGGGACCCCCATTTCATCATTCTGCTTCATTCTCTCTCTGTTCTCCTATTCTGCAGAATCTGTTAGTTCAATCTCTAACCTTCTGCTCTCTCTGCTTTTCCTCAGAGTAGCTTTGCCTCGTCTGTTCCTGTTTGGCTGTGACGTCATCCTGGAAAGAAACATCAGCTGTGCTGCTTCTATCAACACCCTTGTTTATAGATGTTGGAGATCGGCCTGTTTTCCAGTGTGGTCCTGTTTCTCTGACCGTGACTGAGTGGATGTGCTTTCTTCGTCCTCTGGCATGGGAGCTGCCTTGGAGCTCGTCTGCCTGGCTGTGTGTTTCCTGGACGGGGCCGCCTTTTACAGCTGCTTTTTGTATCTCTGCTTCTGTCTCCTTGAACCCCAGTCGGCCTCGGCAGATGGCCGCTCACACTGAGCCTGGTTCTGCTGGAGGTTTCTTCCTGTTAAAAGGGAGTTTTTCCTCTCCACTGTCGCTACAAGCATGCTTAGTGTGGGGGATTGTATTTGAGTCAATGAGTCAATGCAATCAACTGGTTTTCCTTAGATAGAAAACTTTGTATCAATTTGATCTGGTTGAACTGTAAAGTGCCTTGAGATGACATGTGTTGTGAATTTGGCGCTATATAAATAAACTGAATTGAATTGAATTGAATTTGCAAAAACAAATATAGCGATATTATTTTCCAAAAAAAGCAGCAGGAGTAGTAGCAGTTTTCCTGCTCTGGTTTATTCTTTTTTTCTCTCCTGTGTGTCTCAGACATGATCGTGGAGCTGGCCGGCCATGCTCAGTTCATCACCACCACCTTCAGGCCGGAGCTGCTCGAATCTGCAGACAAATTCTACGGCGTCAAATTCAGGAACAAGGTGAGCCTCTCCTCTCAACTTTGATTTTTTTTTTCCTGGGAGACATTGATTTTCAGGCAGATCTTTTCTGCTTGATGAAAAAAATAGACCAGATCATTAGGTTTATTTCATTCTAAATGCTGTTGAGCCAAATAAGCCAAGAAACGGGCCATAACACATGGGTTACTCAGGTGAAATTCTTTTATATATATATATATATATATATATATATATATATATATATATATATATATATATTAGGGCTGCAACAACGAATCGATAAAAATCGACTTTTAAAAGCGTTGGCAACGAATTTCATCATCGATTAGTTGTGTCGCGCGATTATTGCGTCATCCGCTGCGCCGTCATCACTGCCTCTTGACTGAAAGAGGAAGGAAAAAAAATACGGCAGAGCGAGTCAGCGCCGCAGGAGCAGTGTTGCCAACTCCACGACTTTTCAGACCCCTCCAGCGACTATTTTTCAAAAAAGCGACTAGCGACAAATCTGGCGACTTTTTTCGGTGTCACTGGTGGCTTTTGGAGACTCTTACGTGAAAGCATGTATCATTCCTACTCTGCCGTGGGGCGCCTCCCCCACCCCAACCGCGTTTTCCCGCAGGAGTCCCTCTCAGTCAGAGCCTCAGCGTCCAGACTGCAAATGAAGCACGCATGCACCGGGATTGACGGCGCAAATTGATCACAATAATTAAAATAGCCTGCGCTTTGTAAAGTGAAAAAAGTGATAACATGCAACTTTTTTCAAAAGAAATTAACATGGCACGGAACCACCATGTTTGTTTGGTTTTAAAGTGGGGAAACGTTACGTTAGTTTCTCAGGTAGCTCATCTGATGCTTTCCTTATCTTGTTAGTAGGTTACAGACAGTGATAAGGTTGGCTACTTATTTTACTTTAAATTTCATTTGAACTAGCGTAAGCAGCGTTTACATTTACTTTATAAATAAATTAACTTGCAAATTATGAGGGCAAGACTTTTAAAGTTTAAATCTGGCAAAGATAAAGTAAAGATGATCCTGCAATTTATAGAAGTAAAGCAGAATAAAATCCAGCAAGATCAGTAATATGTCAATTAATTATATGCCACATTCCCATGTAAATATCTGTCTTTGGAGGATGTGTTTTTTAGCACCCCTAGTTCTCTCATTTTTATTCCAAATACAATTTATAATTTGAATCACAGGGCTATTTTTATCTCTATGGTTCAGTATTTTCTCAAGTAGCAACTTTAACTGCTATACTTTCCTGTCTTAAAAGGCAGAACTCTTCTAGTCTAAAAAAAACTCATTTGTTGAAATGGGGGGGCCTATTGTTTGAACCCCTTAGAGGCTTTTAAAAACAAAAATGTCTTTTTTTGCGCTTTATGAAACAAAGTACCCTATATTTTGTGGATGTACATCTACATTTCTCATGTAAGTTTGCGTAGTTTTAACACAAACATTTATTTTTCATATTGCACCAGTACAGTTAATGAGCAACCTGTACTTGTGTGCTTGTTTGTTCTGTCTATAATGTTTATTTTGGAATAAAGAGGTTAATATAAAAAATATTTTTTGTCCGATTCATCGATTAATCGAAAAAATAATCGTCCGATTCATCGATTTTTAAAATAATCGTTAGTTGCAGCCCTAATATATATATAAAAAACTTGGTTTTATATTGTTTTTATACCTTTGATATTTACAAGTGAATATATGCTGATGAAGATTCTCAGTCATCCAGGTCATAGTCATTCCGTAAAAGTTTGAAAAAAACAATCCAGTGGATTCGATCCAAGGTTTGAAGACGTTTCGCTTCCCCTCCAGGAAGCTTTCTCAATTCAAATTTTGAATTGGGAAACGTCTTCAAACCTTGGAAACCAAGTCCAGTGGATTGTTTCTAAACTTTTACGGAACAAGTGAATATAGTTAATGTCTTTTTTTCCCCTGATTTTGGGACTTTGCTGCCTCTATCCTTCACCTTAGCAGCAGTTGGAAGCTTCAAAAGTTATAAAACATCTTTTATGATGTTTTATATGAACATAATACAAAAAAAAAAGCCCGGATTTCTGAAAGATCGTCCTGGATGTGATGTTGCTGATGTCCGAGCTTTAAGAGTCTTCAAAGGCTCTGATATTCCATACTAGCTCTGATGTTATGGTTTTAACCACATCCGAACATTTATTCTGTATTTTTTAAATCAGTTTTTAAGAGTTATAGCTTTTTATTTCTTTTTATATTTGTAATTGTTTTGTAAAATGCTTCCTGTTTTGATTTTTTTAGGTAGACAATTTTAAGATCTGTCCAGGGGCAACAGATGAAAAATAGCCTTTTGGGTAATTCTGGTGCATTTGCAGGAATGCTTTTTAATGTACACAGTCCCTTTCAAATAAATTAATGAATAAAATAAAAATTAAATCCACACTCCTGAGAGGCCAAATGAAACGGTTCAAGTCTGCATGTGTATATTTAACATTTGGCATGGAGGTGAGATTTAATTTATTCACAGCTGTTAAAATGTAGCATATTCTGTAAGAGGGCACTAAGGTGTAAAAAACAATGGAATCATAGCCTTGAACAAAAAGGATCAACTAAAACGGACACATTTCATTTTAATTAGCTTAATTCAGCAGTTTACTCTTAAATTAAAATGTCCTATAAAGCCTATCATATGGACCTGTTTGTTAGGACTAGGGCTGCAACTAACGATTATTTAAAAAATCGATGAATCGGCCGATTATTTTTTCGATTAATCGATGAATCGGACAAAAAATATTTTTTATATTAACCTCTTTATTCCAAAATAAACATTTTAGACAGAACAAACAAGCACACAAGTACAGGTTGCTCATTAACTGTACTGGTGCAATATGAAAAATAAATGTTTGTGTTAAAACTACACAAACTTACATGAGAAATGTAGCTGTACATCCACAAAATATAGGGTACTTTGTTTCATAAAGCGCAAAAAAAGACACTTTTGTTTTTTAAAGCCCCTAAGGGGTTCAAACAATAGGTCCCCCCATTTCAACAAATTAGTTTTTTTTAGACTAGAAGAGTTCTGCCTTTTAAGACAGGAAAGTATAGCAGTTAAAGGTGGTACTTGAGAAAATACTGAACCATAGAGATAAAAATAGCCCTGTGATTCAAATTATAAATTGTATTTGAAATAAAACTGAGAGAACTAGGGGTGTTAAAAAACCCATCCTCCAAAGACAGATATTTACATGGAAATGTGGCATATAATTAATTGACATATTACTGATCTTGCTGGATTTTATTCTGCTTTACTTCCATAAATTGCAGGATCTTCTTTACTTTATCTTTGCCAGAAGATTTAAACTCTAAAAGCCTTGCCCTCATAATTTGCAAGTTAATTGATTTATAAAGTAAATATAAACGCTGCTTAAGCTAATTCAAATGAAATTAAAAGTAAAATAAGTAGCCAACCGTATCACTGTCTGTAACCTACTAACACGGTAAGGAAAGCATCAGATGAGCTACCTGAGAAACTAACGTTACGTTTCCCCACTTTAAAACCAAACAAACATGGTGGTTCCGTGCCATGTTAATTTCTTTTGAAAAAAGTTGCATGTTATCACTTTTTTCACTTTACAAAGCGCAGGCTATTTTAATTATTGTGATCAATTTGCGCCTTCAATCCCGGCGCATGCGCGCTTCATTTGCAGTCTGGACGCTGAGGCTAAACATCCTGCTGCTCTGACTGCAGTGCTGAGAGGGACTCCTGCGGGAGGCGCCCCGCGGGAGAGTAGGAACGATGCATGCTTTCACTTAAAAGTCTCCAAAAGCCGCCAGTGACACCGTAAAAAGTCGCCAGATTTGTCACTAGTCGCTTTTTTTTTAAATAGTCGCTGGAGGGGTCTGAAAAGTCGCTGAGTTGGCAACACTGCGCCCTGCAGCGCTGGCTCGCTCTGCCGTATTTTTTTTTCTTCCCCCGTTTCAGTCAAGTGGATGTGATGACGGCGGCCGCGGATGACGCATTAATCACGCGACACAACTAATCGATGATAAAATTTGTTGCCAACGCTTTTAAAAATCGATTTTGTATCGATTTTATCGATTCGTTGTTGCAGCATACATAGAGTATTCATAATGAGTCCAGAACTTATGTCCAGCGACAGCCTAACTGATGCATAACGCCCAGCAGCGTGATGCCCATGAAATGCCACAAGCCAGTGTCCTGAGGGGGGCTATTAACCTAGCTGCTGTTTACCGCCTGTCAAAAAAAAATAAAGAGAAAAAGAAAGATGGTTTGTAGTCGCGGTAGATTCAGTGTCTTGTCTGCTAGGAAGTTTGTTGGTCGTGGGCGTTAATACAGCGAGGATCCATCACACTCATCTTCTCGCTCACCCTACGATGGGAACGCAGCCTGGAGAGGAATTGACGGTTTCTTCCTGTGAACCCCCTTTTATACCAAAACGCTGCCAATATGCCATTAAACATAAGCTGTAAGTTAGAAACATGTACAGCGGTCGTCTGGAACACGTCAAATACGTTGATATGCATCGGAGATAAGTTCTTCATTAGTAATGCACAAGTTACTTAGAGGTTTTGGATAGGCTAGGCACTACGACTTATGAGTAACTTACAATTAACTTATGTCAACCATAAGATAACTTACCTGGAACTTATGGCCCACGTATGGCAAATGCTGGCATACGTCGGGACATTTTTAGCATGCCAATGTTCTTCAGCGTGCTCATGACTTGTTCAAAACGTACCCATAACTTAATCCAACGTATGCCAGCATTTTTGGCAGATTTTCTGTACGTCAGGAATACACTGGTCTAAATCGTCAAGGTGTGACGGGCATTAAGAGCTTACATAAACCCTCCTTTATCCAGTCTCAGGCTGCATAACTAGCCTTATTCCGTATCCTGTTTTAATTGTCTGTCCAGAAGCAGCAAATAATTCACTATCAGCCGCAATGGCGTTAATTTCCCTCCATACACAAGGTTTTCCATCTGTTCATTTCAATAGACTCTTCATCTTTGAATGTTTCATAACCTGAATTATGGGTGCTTAGTCAGAGTGACATTGATTGGTTGTTAAGTGTCTGCATGTCTTTGTGTTTTAAGGTGAGTCACATTGATGTGATCACAGCAGAGCAGGCCAAAGACTTTGTGGAGGACGACACCACCCATGGTTAAAGCACTCTTCCTCCTCATCATCATCATCATCCTCCTCGTCCATTCCTCCTCTGCCTTCACAGAGAGCGCCGCTGAAAGCCTCCAAAGCTGAGGGTCACAGGCACAAAAAAATCCAACATACCTTAAAGCATAACTGCTTGGTTTTTAAAAGAAAAATGTCCATCAGGGTGGAAAAAAATGAAGAACGGGGAGTTCTTATTTCTTGTTTTCCTCAGTCCTGATTTCACACTGGATCTACGGCTTAATAGTTTGGTTTTAGGAGAGAATCTCAAGTTTCTGTTGCTGTGATAGATTTTCATTTAAGCTAAAGTTAGGTGACCTTTGTGATGCAGACGGAGTCAGGAAACCTGAGGGGTCTGACCAGAAAATAGCTCCTCTTTGTAAATATGAAGCCGTTTTTATACATCTTGTGTTAAAATAGTTGCTTTTGATAAGATGTGCTTGGAAGAGACGGGACAGGGGTTCGTTTTTGTTTGTTGTTGGCCTTGAAATAACAGCATTTTTTCTAAATTTTGTGTAATGTATATTGCTTGTACTCACAATGAGTGTTTATAGATTGTTGTTCTTTCCTCTGGTTGTTATTCTACTGTGCAACGTCTTGTTTTAGGTCATTGGAATAAAAGTTAATATTCCTCATCAACTAATTACCCTTTCTGGACTCAAAGTTCACCTTCTGAGTCATCTAAGCAGGGTTACTGAGTCCTGTAGGATTAGTTATGCAGTTAATGTTGCAACAAGTCCAAGTTTTCATTCACTGGCTGTTCATAATCAGACGTCTTATTTTGTTCTTCTTGTTTTACTTTTCTTCCACCGCAAACTTTAAGTTTCTTTTTACATAATTGAAAAACCTGGCTTATTAAATGAATAAAAGGTTTTAAAAATTACTTTCCGAGTTGTCATTTATTTTACCAATAGGTGGTGCTGCAGTTCACACCGGACTCCCTCACACAGTAGCTAAAGTAATGTTTCTGCATCATGAAGCTTTTCTCTTTAAGAAGAATTAGTTAAACCTGAAGATATTTTAGTTTGTTTTTCTTTTTTAATTCAAGAGAAAAATACATTTCTGAGTGTACTGTGTACTGTTTATTCAATATCCAAGTGGAAAGATGATCTAGTTTATTTTTCGACAATGAAATCTTAAATTTAACATGGATATAAATTCTTTACAAGCTAATAGTTATATATTATATAGATATATTTCCTCTAAATTCTACATGTAAATTAACTGCTTTAGTGAAGCTCTTCGATTCGTTGTATTGTCTGTGTTTAAGCAACATGGCGGTGTTTTTAAAAGCTTTCCCCCCTACTGTACTCGGGCCTAATTTGCTAATGTTTGAATTAAAACTTAGAAATGTCTTAACTGGCGAGAGACTTTTAAAACCTGAGATTTAAAATAAGAATCCAATCAATGAAAAACTGAGCTGTGGCTGCTGGTTGTTAACTCTTATCGGAGCTGTAGTCCTCCGGTGTTTGGAGGTGGCTATACTGTGACCTTCACTTCCTGCTCTCTCCATTCGCCTTCATTTCTTACACTTAACCTTTGTATTTAAACTCTATGTCATACTCATTTAATACAGTTAAAATAAAATGTAAAGTGTTAAACTCAACTAACTCTTTAAGATAAAAAAAATATATATATATATTCAGAAACCAATAACAAAAATTATTGGTCACAGCAATTCAGAAAATGACTGTAACCCAGCTGTGTTTAAAAATAAAACCCTGCGGTTTAACGTGAGTTGATTACAAATAAAACAAAATTTCCTTTACATCCCTGCTCTATAAACATTGACATTTTTTATGTTAAATAAAAGGACATATAGACAGTTGGAAAAAATTCTAAATTTAAAGAGCAAACATAATTTTTGAAGAGCACCGTGTTATAAAAATTTGTTTTCTTTGTTCTCCACTATTATCTGGAAAACAAAGTTTTTTTTATTATAGCTTTTTATTTGTATGAAGTTTAAATGAATAAATTTATTTAATAGAACCAAATTAAAACTGTTAGTTCTTTACATAGATATTTTAGCATGATGAGAAAGAAAAGGCGGTAAGCCTTCAGGTTCTGGTAAAAGCAGGAGAGTAACGCCTCACATGGTCTGCTGCAATGGCTGCTATAACTCCTGAAGGCTGCAATGTGACCGATGCTCCTCTGCATGAGGAGAATCCAGTCAGAACTCTTTTGTGACACTAAATCCTTTCTAGTAATGATTACAGCGGCTTCATGACTGCTTTCCATCTGATACTTGATACTGGAGGAAATGGAAGAGAAGTCGATGGCTGTCAATTCAGAATCAGAAATACTTTAATAATCCCAGAGGGAAATTGCTTTTGTTACACGCTCCAGTTACAGTTTTATATATATATATATATATATACACACATCCAACTACACAAGATAATAAAGATATATATATATATATATATATATATATATATATATATATATGCATATGTAAAACGAAATCCAAGTAAAGTTTTCAATTTAGCAACAGATTAGAGAAAAAGCAAAACTATGAAGCTTGATTTTATTTCCAAACAAAAATGAGCTTTTAACAGAGGATTTAATGGTCAGGGCAAGTTATCGTTTTTTGATAACTTTGATGACTTGCATCCTCCCACATCCCTCAGTGAAGTCTAGAAGCACAAGATCTATATCCAGTCATTCAGCAAATGTAGTTTTGGCATTAACCAATTAGATTAGACCTTGAATGATATATTACCTGCTGTAAATGAAGATGAAAAAAGTTAAGATAAATAGCTGAATGAAAAAGTTAAAAGTCGAAAATATAAGTGCCTGTATCAGCATTAATGCTCTTATGTTATAAAATAGAAAATGTGTTTCTTTCAATCTAACTTTCATGAATTTCTTTTATTTTTCTTTATTTATTAGGACAAGTAGCCGTTTCTTGTTATGACATTGAACTTATTTTTTCCCATCAAAATATACAATTTTTTTTATGTTAAAAAAGTAATAGGGTCTTGTCCTGTCATCAAATAACTCTTGGCTTGTAATTTTGATTTTCAAAGTATTTCACTAACTGCCCTATGATGGGTTAAAAAAAACACAAACTTATCTTCATACAGATATTGAGGCTAGATATGCATTCCTGCTAATTTTAGGAAATCCAAGAGATTTTGAAGTGAGTTTACTCTGAATACCTACATTGTATAACATAGTTAAAGATGGGTAGAGTACATAGAAATTTAACTTGAGTAAGAACAACACTACCTCATAATTTAACTCAAGTAAAAGGAAAAAGATGCCATCTGAGAAATTACTCAAGAGTAAAAAATGAATCTATAACCTGCAGTAATTACACAGTCCAGTTTCAGGTGGAAGAACACATTGAAAATATAAATTTCTATATTGTTTAGTTAAAAATTATGAAATCAATATTTATAGTATTTTTTTGTATATAGGTTAGAAAAGAATACGTTACTTCCAGTAACAGGATATAGTATATAGTTTACTGTATGCTCCCTTGAATTTTCAAATGAAAACATAATAAACAGATAAAAATAACCAGGGCTGCAACTAACGATAATTTTACAAAGCGATAAATTTGTTAATTTTTTTTCCTGATTAATTGATTAATAATCAGATAGCAAAAGTTTCCTTTTTAAACAATTTTAAGCAGGTGAAACTAAAGCTTTTCCACATGAGGAGTTCTGGAAAGAGAATATTGAAAGACAAAGGCATTTTTTTTTCATCTTAAATGCAAAATGTTTAGATATTCTTTTTACAATTTTAACATAATTACAGCTCTAAGTGAGCTGCTCTGTTAGTTAAAGGCATGTTTTAGAGTCTCTATTCTCCAGTTAACGATTACTCGATTACTAAATTAGATCGATGATTATTTCAATAATTGATTAATCACAACTAATCTTATAATTGTTTCAGCCCTAATACTAACATTAAATAAATATTGTCTACTTTGTGGGTCACTTTGGATAAAAAAGTGTCTACGAAATGCATGAACATAAATAGACCTTGAGCATGTAAAAAAAACTTAAAACTAAAGGTGTTCGTTTCTCAAACTTATTTCTTTTTTAGTAAAAATGCTCACATTATATAGAGCCGGCAGAAAGCTTACTCCAATAAGAGTAGTGACACTTCATCATATAAGTATATATTTAAAGTATATATAGAAGTAAAGCTTACTCTAAAAAGGGTTTTGTAAAAAGGAATAAAAAAAGTTAGTGAAGTAAATTTAACTTTTGATTCTGTGAAAGGTTCTGCAGATCCCGTTAGCAGGGTAGCCTTAAAAAATGAGTCCTGGGAAAAAAACTTCTGATGGATCAGGAGTGGCTCAATGCAAACTTCATGTCCTGTGTGTGTGTGTGTGTGTGTGTGTGTGTGCGTGCGCTGCTTCTCCAAACTCTCGCTCCAGCTGGGAAGTCTCTGATTACCTTCGCTTCTAGATCCTCTAAAGGCTGCAGTTTTTCTTTCCCATTTTTATGCCTTACCAGCAGTGTTGGGCACGTTACTTTGAAAAAGTAATTAGTTATAGTTACTAGTTACTTCTCCCAAAAAGTAACTGAGTTACTAACTGAGTTACTCCACAATAAAAGTAACTAGTTACTTGTAAAAGTAACTATTGCGTTACTTTTGCGTTTCTCGCCCCCGTAAACCTCACCACCCGGCCCCCACCTTCTCGCCATGTGTTTCCAAAGCCAGCTGAATAGAGCGGACGACAAAGACAAGAACCTGCAGACAGTTTAGCATTTATTGCAACTCAACGCAAATGACATCAGGGGGGAACGCGATGTAAAGTTTTATAACAGGACATTCAGATCCGGTGAGTATATGAAATTAATAACTGGGGATGTCTAATTCTGAAATCCTGTGTGTTTGGGTTGTTATAGATACTGCAACATCTATCTATCCATATCTATCTAGATGTATACTCTGTGTGTGACATAAAATATGGATCTCCATCCCTGCCACAAAGGCCATCAAATAATGTTTAAAATAAAAAATACAGTAGGTTGAGAAGGCAGAGTATCCATCCATCCATCCATCCATCCATCCATCCATCCATCCATCCATCCAGATTTCTCCCTTTCTCCATATAGGCTATCATTTCTGGCTGTTGTCAGGTTCATTTGATCGTTCACGCTCTCCATAGTTCTCCTGTGGCGCGAGCACAGGGCGACTGTTGCGCGCCTTTAGCGAGCATGCGCGTTTCCTGTCGCTTGCGCGGTGACTCTTGCCGCCTGCGCTGTGTGGAGATGCAGAGGAAACCGTTATGTGATGGGGAAACGCAGCTCTACGTAACACCGGTATTTCCATGTGGAAAACGCTGTTTTGCTGCTGGATCCTCCTCACTCTCCATCTCTCTGTGTGTGCTGTACGTTAACACCCACCAGCAGAAACACCCACCTATTCAACTGACAGACGGAATCTCATCCTCCCCTCTCTCATGACAAGGCGCGCACCTCTGGATGACTTAAAAAATAATCTTTAATATCTCTTAAACAAAAGTAGCACAAACAATATTTTTTTCTGCACAAATCTGCACTAACGTTGCACTAACCATTCAGTCTATTTGCAGAGTTTTTTGACGTGGGTGGGGTGTCAGCTTCACGCAGCTGCGCACGAGTCCTATCATGAAAAAAGGTTCATTGTGCGACCTGAGTAACGCGCAGTAACGGGGTGCCTGCAATGGTAACTGCGTTATAGTTACAGTCAAAGTAATTAGTTAGATTACTCGTTACTAAAACAAGGTAACGGCGTTAGTAACGCCGTTAGTTTCAACGCCGTTAGTCCCATCACTGCTTACCAGACCTTATTTTGAGCTTTTCAGAGGAGGTTTATTAACAGAAGAAGCATTAAAAGTGCATAAAATTGTCAGCTGATAGATATTCTGATATTTTTA